TAGATAAGACGATATTATTCGTATTAAATATCTCTACGGAGGTAATGTTTAGGTAGTCGAGCTCTGGCGGGCTGACTAATCTCCATACCCCTAATTCAGATGGCACGACCCCGCTATTCCTCGGCTTCGGTTGTGTCCCCCGCTAGGATCGTAGCTTCCCCAGATTTTAACATCAACATTCACATAGCTTCGGTTTCTTCTTGAATATGTCTTACTTTTCCTTCAGATGTTGAAATATTATACTTCTGTTTGTTAGGACCCCCACGTAGTCACCCTTGCCTACTTCTTTATTACCTAGCCCCACATCTCTCAACTCACCACCCTCGAAATGACCCTCACCCTTCCTGCCTCTTACTCTACAACCCCCTACCCTGACATCCTTGTCTCCCACCACCCGCCCTCGTCTCCAACCCCAACACCCATCATAATAGTCACGCTCAACCGCCCACAGGCCCAAAATGCATTCACCGACGCCATGGCCTCGTCTTTGTCCTCGCTCTTCCCGGTTCTCTCTCTCGATCCCCGCGTGAAGTGTATTGTTTTGACCGGTTCTGGTAAGTATGAACGTCGCAATGGGAGTGTCATTAACAGAGTGTATAGGAACAAGAGCTTTTTGTGCTGGAGCAGATCTTTCTTCCTCGCCGCTCGATTATAGTACCGACACCCCGCAGTAAGTTTTTCGAATTTTGGGCTTGTTCTCTAATCATCATGTTTCAAGTTCACGCATTGAATGTCTAGACAAGCTCTTAGAAAACAGTCAAAAGTATGCACTGATTCGTCAACAGAACACACCGCGATGGCGGCGGTCAAGTTGCGCTTGCGATACATAATTGTAGCAAACCGGTCATAGCAGCTATCACTGGGTCTGCCGTGGGGGTTGGGATCACGATGACGTTGCCGTGCTCGATTCGGATTGTGTCTGAGAACGCGAAGATTGGGTTCGTGTTTGCAAGAAGAGGCATCGTGATGGAGGCCGCGAGTAGTTTCTTCCTTCCCAGGTTGGTGGGTTGGGGGAAGGCGGTGCATTTATGTACCACGGGGGGAGTTTATAGAGCGGGGGATAAGCTATTTGATGGCTTGTTTGGGGAGGTTTTACCCCAAAAGAGGGTACTGAGTCGAGCGCTGGAAGTTGCGGAGGAGGTGGTGAGGAATACGAGTGTGGTTAGTACAAAGTTGATGAGAGACTTGGTGAGTTTTGCTTTGTCTTTTCCTATAGCAGCGTTGTATTTTTGACTGTTGGGTGGAAGTTCCCTGCTATTCCCTTGATTTATGCTTTCTGTTTGTTTTCAAGAGGGCTAATTTGTGTCAAAGATGTGGAGGGGTCCAAAGAGTGCGGAAGCTACGCATCTATTGGACAGTAAGATTTTGTTGGAGCTGTTTAGTGGAGAGGATAAGAAAGAGGGAATTGATGCCTTTTTGGAGAAACGAGATGCGAATTTCGAGGGGACGATGGAGAGGAATGCGCCGAGTGTTTGGCCTTGGTGGGAGTTGGTTGATACAAAGGTTCCAGAGAGGGTCAGGGATGTTAAACCTAAGTTATGAGGGAGTCAAGGACTATGAGTGGATATTGTAAGTTTCGATACGTGGGGTTGTATATATCATGGAAGGAAGATGAGAATTGTTGATGAGTTTGAACTAGTCCGTTTTTGCTTCAGAAGCTTTCACAAGATCTATCCTAGTACCACACTCATATAGATAGAGACTACTTGAACGGAGACCAAACACGACGTGGACTCTCAAAGCTGGTGGTTTAGCCAATGAGAATGCGTAGTGTTTATCCACCTCCTGCTCTTGAGTTTTGACCAGGAACAATTCCACTACAAAAACACTTGCACAAGCCAGTGAAAACTTCTGTCTTTATTTTGTTCACCTGCTTAGAAGATATGACTCAAAACTTCGAAAAGTTTCCAGAGTCTCACGTAACGCGGCTTGATGGAAACCCCACCTATACCCCACTTTCCGCTTTCGGCTTGAGCTCAACCTCACATAGACCTTCAATCTCGCATATCAACTTAACTCACTACATCAACTCAAACCACGATCTCTTGCACTCTCATCCCAGTACCTAAAACAGATACACTCGTCAAAATGGTCATGAAGGAAGCAGTCAAGACGGACAAGGCTCCACCGCCAATGCCGTTCCTCTCCCAGGCTATCAAGTGCGGTGGTATGGTCTACTGTTCCGGCTCAGTCGGAATGGATCCCACGACCAGCAAGCTTGTGGAAGGAAGTGTTGCTGATCGTACTGTACGTCTCTTGCCTCTCCTTCACTGATCATCTCAAATCACCCCTCATCACCCCATCCTTGTCACGACTCAAGCTCACCCGTCTCAGGAACAATGCCTGAAGAACTTGGCCGCTGTCCTCGAAGCAGCCGGCTCATCAATCGACAACGCGGTCAAAGTCAACGTCTTTTTGATCAACATGGACAACTTTGCAGCCATGAACAAGGTCTATGAGAAGTTTTTCCACAAGGATCCCAAGCCTTGCAGAACTTGTGTAGCGGTTCATCAGTTGCCGCTTGGCACGGATGTCGAGATTGAGTTGACGGCACATCAGTAAGTAAGTTGAATTTTGTTTTTTTATTCACACATGAAAGCTTTGGCTGAGTGTGAGGAGGAATGAGAATGAGAGTGGAGTGAGAGCGGAAGCGGTTTCGAGATTAGGTGCTGATTGGTAATTAGGGGCGAGAAGGCGAAGTTGTAGGATGGAAGGGACTCAAAATTACGACTTTCACAATCTAGCAACAAATCGATGCATTTCTCATGCGAAGGAGGACTTTGAGGATTGTCGAGTATCCGTCACGTGCTGGTGATTTCAGTTTCAACCCCCTCTTCCAACCGAGCGTACTCTCATCAATGTGAGAGTAGAACGAGTGCTTGCAGCGAGCTTTCGATCATTTAAGCGATTATATTGAGTGCTTGCAGCTTTCGGCAAACATGTCTCACATTTACCCTTGTTTTCATTCCTTTCGAGACTGAGGAATGCACTTACTAGTCCCCCAAGCCCTCTTTGTTGACAGCCCAAATTTTTCTATTCCCATGCGACAGAAGTGTTCTCGCCTCAAATCCAGTCGCGTGTTTTCCCGCTGCAGTTACCCATCATGTCCGGACAAGGTGCTGACGCTGCTGCTCCTCCTGCTTCACCATCTACGTTCACAGACTGGGTCTTCGGCATGATTAGTACCCCAAACCCAAGGAATTCTGCATCATCGACAACAAACCCGTACTATGGTGCCCAGAAAAAGAACGAGGACGATCCAAGATTCCACGCAGCACAAGCTCTAACCACCATCGATACGATACCCGTCCCGGCTCAATGGACGGATGACCATCCGCATCTCTTACAAAGGAATGTCTCTGCGGTATTGGAGAGTCTTGCGAGAACAGAGAGAGAGGAAAAGATCATCGCAAGCCAGGTTGCACAACTCAAGGCCAGGTCTGATCGGGCAGCCCAAAGGGAGATAGTCACTATCGACAACGATGAGATTACTGTAGACCATACCTATAACCCAATAGGCGGGTTGGATCTCAACAGGAATCTCAGAGGGACTAGAGGTGGAACTGGGAGTAAGAAACCGCCTGGAGGAGGAGGAGGCGGCGGAGAAGGAGATGATGACGATGATGACGACGACGACGATGATGATGACAGCGAGGGAAGCAGTCCACCCAGAAACCCAAAGAAGCGGAAGTTTGACGAGGGAAAAGATAAAATAAACGAATCGGAGCTATACAATAATCTCGTAGACCGGAAAGCAAAGAAGACAAAAAGAGCCAGCCATTTCGAGACTCAACCAGAGGTCAACTTGGTAGATCTCAATCCACAACCTATCCGTCTCGAATACGAACCGCATTCTCTTCAGGATCCGTCAGATGAGTGGTTCACAGATGCGTTCAGCAAGCTATATAAGCAAGCGGAAAGATTCGTGGTCGACTTTTACGGTATCCATGACCTTGATCGTGGAGTGTTCTTTGAGCCGTGGACTTGCGGCGTTTCTTCCGAGTTTATCAGTTATGCCGAGGGAGTTGCACAGCCAGACCCCGCTGTGGGTGGTTGGGACAAGATTCTGAGGAGTACGGAGCAGAGACAATGGTTCATCATGGGAATATTGATGAGGATCATCCAGAGGAAGATTTTTGACCAGGAACTATTTGGTCAGAATGAATCCGAACGTAACCTATTACATAGTCTCGACCAGGCTCTTAACAAGCGAGAAGGTAGATGTTTGTTCCTTTCTCTTTGAGCTTCACTTACATAAGTAGGATTTTCCAGGCAAGCACTCCGAGCTGAAGCCGTACGCACAGTCATCGGTCGCTCTCCAGTAACAGAAAACTTCTACAAAGAAGTCACTAAACTCACGGCTCAAGTAGCTCTCCTCCTAAACCCCTTGACAAACTACCTGTACGCACAATCTCCACCCGACAAATTGAAAAACCCCAACAGAGTAGACGTCTACCAAGCTCTCCACAACCTCATCTCCAACGCCGCCTACCTCTCCATCGCCGTCCGTCTCTCCCCCACTATCTTCTACTTCGTCCCCGTCTCCCCAGGCACAGCCTACGACCCAGAGGACCACATGAACTTCAGCGCCTCCTCATTCACGAACAGCAAGCAAACCGTCATCGACGCATACACCGTAGCCGCCAAAGCCTTTGCCCGAAGAATGAAACCGCTTAAAAGAGAAAAAGACCGCCTGAAAAGACTGAGACTTGAAGACACGGTCAAGGGAAGAAAAGCTGCAATAGACTTCGAACGCATGTCGCGAACCGCGCCGCTACATCCGGGAGATTCGCATAGAGCTCTGTGTGGGATCTCGTCTTGGCCTGTCATTACGAGGTTCAAGCCAGGTGGTGATGGTGATGATGACCTCGATACGAGTTGTGCGTACCTGCCGGATAAGGATGGGTTTAGGATCTATCAGATTAGTAAGGGCGGAGCGGTGTTTTATTATGGGTTTGATAGGGATAGTGCGGGGACGGCGGGGAGGCCGGAGAGGACTAGGTTGAGGCATTGGGTGAGGCAGAAGGAGGCGGCGGAGGGGAATAAGGCGAAAGGGGGCGTGTTGGGGACGGTTGTGGGTGTTGCGGCGCTTTTGGGAGCCGCGGGTGTGGGGATGTTGTTGAAGGAGAGGGGTTTGGAGGAGGTTACTGGGCTTTTGGTTGAGGGTGTTAATTCGTTGTGGTAGGATGTAAGAGAGACTTCAAAGAAAGAAAAAGGACGGAGAGGATGAACTGTATCATGGAGTTTTGAGGGTGTTGTCACTTGACAAAGAAGAGGATCAGCTTGGAGGAAGGGATGGGTTCTTGTTCAAGTCAATTACATTTTTCAGGTATTCTTTGCTTTCATGGCTTTAGTTAAGCAATTTAATCATTCGTCCGGAATATCCCAACGCCGTGCCAGGTATCTTTGTGTTGTCGCTCCTGAACAGAACACCGTTGATCGCCTTTGAAATCGTGTACCATCATCATTGAAACCGATGCCAAGCCGAACCTATACGCCTTATACACATTTTCGTCGAAATGAGAAGTGCCTAGCTAGAGCTGGTGCTGTTACCCAATGGCAGAGAAGGAGGAGGCAAGGGACCCGGTCTCTTCTTTTCTTTCTTCGCCCATCTCAAGCCACAAGCATTGCATAACGTTTTGGGACCGCTTGGACCCTTACGCCATTCCGGAGAATCCAGTGTCCCTGTCCACGTCAGTAGCTAGAAACATGTCAGACATTGACGAAAACGTACCACAGTCGGTGCAAACATATTCATCTGGCATCTTGATCTTCTTCTTCTTGTCGCCTGCTCTCGCTTCCTTGTCTATTGGTATCGCAATGCCAGCATCGCCTCTGATCAAAGCCGGACTGTGTTCTCCGGTACTGATTCCACGACTTCGTTCGCCATCTTGGTATCGTAGGCCTGTCAACATCTCGATGGTGTCGATATGTGTAGCACCTTCGTAGCGGGCCATCTTATCGGTGATTGAATCTGGTCTGTTGCCGGCATTGACATCTTCGAGGTTCTGTCGTGTCAGTGCTTGTGTTGCAGCTGATGGTTTGGCAGGTGGTGGCATTGCGAAGGCATCCGGGTTTGTCATAGTATGATGCATAGGTGTAGAGGCAGAGTCTATAGTATCGGTCTGCTCTGACGGGTGTATTGATCCACCTTCCTGCTTCTTGGCCCAATTCTTGCGAGACTCCTCCGCTTCTTCGGCTTCCTCTCTCTTGAGATCCTCTATGCGCTTTCTGAGTCTTTCGTTTTCGATCTTGTGCTCCAAGAAGGAGTCTAGAAGTGCTGCATTCTTGGTCGGGTAAGGCCTTGCCATCATGAAGACGCCTTTGCAGAAACTCGCAGCAGAACTTGCCAGCCCAAACTGTGACGCCTCCGAGCTAAGATGTGGATGTCCATGCGACTCAAAGATGGTGTATGACTTGTCCTTCTTCTTAAACCTGTAGAAAAACCGCATGGGATTACCCGTCGCAATTGATTCATTGAATTCTCGAACAAATATTGCATCGTCATCCGGGTGTATATGAGTAGACATGAAAGTGCCAATCAGTTCCTCCCGAGCATATCCTGTTAAAGGTTCGCCACTGGGTGAAATGTATACAATCCGACCATCCGGTGTGAGGATATGCAAAAAGTCTTTCAACTCTTCGACCACCTTTTGTGACCAGTTCCTTCTCTTCGTAAACTCCGTGAGCGTGCTTCCGCTTAGAGTCGACTGAGCCCCGAATCCTGTTGGTAACGGTCCGGCTCCGACACCTGCCATTGGACTATCGCCAAGATTGTGCGCTACAAGCGATCTCTCCTCTGAGGCGTCCGCAGACGTATGTGGGATAGCAGAACTTAGAGGCGTATAAGACTTGTGACTATTGCCGAGATCGAGCGTATTGGAGTCGAGAGACATGGGAACGTTATCGTATTCGTCAAGCATGCTCTCATCTAACATGCCAGTCATGGACGTATCATTGCCGTTGGGAGGCATCTGTAAGCAGATCAGTGTCGATGCATCGAGATCGATCTGGAGAGAGATCGCACCTGCGAGGCTGACAGACTTCCTGGAAGGCCGTCCGGACCCCCAAGATTTCCATAATAGATGGAGGGGCTCATGCCCAAAGGATTGTTGTGATTCATGGATGGGGAGTCTGCTGGCAATCGCGCACAATATAAACAGACTTCATTCAAAATTCGTAAAGGCTTCTCCGCCTCGTGGATCTATTTCCATACCACCAAGTGAGGTTTGCAAGTCTCCCACTTTGAGCTCCAGCTTCTCGGCCGGCTAGGGCGAGACACTAGGACCGGAGCACGGAGCACTTGCCTATCCCAGATTATGTCACGTGCTGGCGTACTCCGTTTGTCCCCATATAATCTCGCGTTGCGCGTCGACCTTCCTCCAACTTCCTTCTGCGAACACAACATTTTGTCAACACCAACACACAGGTACCGCATGCCAACACTTCGACATCTTCATGCGCTCGGACTCTAAATTCCTCCAGACAATATGTAAGTCGTCTACATCATATTATTTATTGCTACATCTACTAATCTTCTCTTGCGATTCAGGTGTAAGCTATGCGCCTTGTCTATCCAGCAACTTCCAGACCAGAGATACTGACACAGACACCATAGCGTCGATTCATCAGTTGAGCATCCTTGGGTATGTCTGGCTTTGTGTCCTGTTCCTTCTGCGCTAACCTGCTGTTCCTTATAGGGTTCGCTCCTTCGACAACCGCGGCCTTGGACAAACCATCGAGTTCAAGGCACCGCTAACCCTTATCGTTGGCTATAATGGATCGGGAAAGACGGTGAGGCATCCCATATATTCTTGTTTAAGAACCTTGGCTGAGTATGTTAGACCATTATCGAATCACTCAAATATGCTGCCACTGGCGAGTTCCCTCCGAATGCCGCCAAAGGAGGCGCATTCATTCACGACCCAAAAGTAAAATCTCCTTATCTTATGATGTCTTCGATAGCTAACAAACTTTAGCTCACTCTAGATCCCGAAGTGCTCGCGAGAGTCAAGATGAGTTTCTACAACGCTCAGGGCCACCAGCTGGTCATTGTCAGGAGAGTTAGTTGCACCCTCAACAACAACAAGAAGACATATACTCAAAAGACCCTTGATTCAAGTCTTGTCATCAAGACGGATGGTGGTGAGAGACAAAGTATATCAGGCAAACGCCTTCAGATGGACAGTACGCGACGCCCTTCCCTTCATTCAAAGGTTTAGGAGCCGAAATATTGTAACACTCTTTTCAGAGAGAATGGCTCCCCTACCCTCCGATCTTCCACATCTTCTTTCCAAACATATACTAAAAAGAGACCAGAGGCTGTGCCACAATACATGGGAGTGTCCAAAGCTATCCTAGAGAACGTTATCTTCTGCCACCAAGAAGAATCTCTCTGGCCTATGAGCGAACCGTCCAAGTTGAAGGTTAAGTTCGATGAGATATTCGAGGCACAGAGATATACCAAAGCCATTGATTCTCTCGTCAAGTTGAAGAAGAAATACGCCTCATCCTTGAAAGTACTCGAAAACGAAGGAAAGCATTCTAAGGAGAAAAACAACAAAGCCAAGAGAGTTTCATTGAAGATCAAGAGTCTTTCGGAAGGAATCTTGGCGAAGAATGACGAATTAACGATTCTGGATAGAGACATAGCCGAAGCCCTCAAGCTGTACGAGGAGAAGACTCGACTCCACAACGCGTCGTTGGCCATCGTCAAAGAGCTTCAAATCAAGCAGGAGCGAGAAGTCAGCATCCAGTATACTTTGGACACTCTCCAAACCCATCTTGAAATGCGGGACGACTCTACTGCCGAGCTTGAGTCGACACTTGCAGAGTTTGACGAGCGAATGCTCCAGTATAACCAGCAAGCCAGTTCGTTTCAGCAACAGTATAAAGACATCCAGGACTCGCAAACTACCTCTCGAAGCCAACTTTCCAAAAAGCAAGTAGAGAAAGGCCGACATGATGCTCAGAAGAAAGCCCATGAGGACAATCTTCAAAGTCGAGCTGAAATTGTTAGAGACGCAGCACAAAGCCACTCCTTACGAGGCTACGAGGGTGGTCTAGACGAGGACCAAATCGCAGAATTCATTGCTCGAGTGAAGCTTATGAATGTGCAAAAGGATAATGAACTCTCTGGTCTCCGAGATACCACCCAAAAAGAGGCCCGTCAGCATCAGGAATCCATTACTAAAATCGAGAATCGCAAGTCAGGTCACAGCCATGACAAGGAGTCTGCGAAACAACAGATCAAGGTCAATGACAAGATGATTCGTGAGAGGCAGTCCGAAAAGGACGCGATTCACATGGATGAGGGCAAGAAAGCAATTCTTGATGCGTCTTATCAGGATTCAAAAGAGCTGCTTGAGAACATCCAATCCGCCTACGAATTGGCAGGCTGGGACACGAAGTTGGCGAGGCAAAAGGATTCTTTGAGTGAGTTGGAGGGAGAATTAACCAGACTTGGCCAAGAACTTATGCAGCGGACCAAGACGATGAATGAGACTGCAGCCCTTGAACTCGCCAGAAAAGAGACGCAACAAGCCCAAAGTGCTCTCCAATCCATGATCTCGACGTATGGTGAGCAGTTGAATAAGGTTGTCGGTAAAGATTGGACCCCGGAAAGTCTCCAGCGCAAGTACGAAGTTGCACTTGAACAGATTGAGGACCGCTTAACGGAGAAGAAGAAGCTCAAGGAACGTGCCGATAAAGTCTACGATGAACACAACATCAAACTCGAGATGCTCAAGTCAGATCTCATCAAGAAGGATGCAGAAATAGAGAGCTGCAAGGCTGCTGTCCTTGCCAGTATAAAGTCGTCAGATGGAAAGCCGATCACTGCCGTTGACGAGTACTTGGTGGAATTGCATGCTTTAGAGGCAGACCGAGAGGAGGCTCAGAAGGATCTCAATTCGGCTTCTGAGGTTTCGGGCTTTTATAGAAAGGCTCTAGACACTGTCGACAAGCAGAATTGCTGCAGACTTTGCGAACGAACCTTTGTAAATCAGAAAGAGAAGCTTTCTGCGGCCGACAAGTTAAAGAAACTTCTAGAAAAATTCGTCAAAGAGAAGCTGGAAGAGGATCTCAAGAACATCAATGCAGAACTCAAGGAAGCTCAGAAGGTGCACCCTCGATATGACATCTGGAAGCAACTGGTCGAAGTCGACATTCCAGCCATCAAGCAGGAAATCCAGGCCATGGAAGAGAAGAGCGAACCCCTCATCTCACGTTGCGAAAAGCAGGACGACATTGTAAGCAACGAAGAGTCTTACAAACGAGACGTGTCTCTTCTGAGGAACACTGTTGCCGATATCACCAAGTACTGCGCAGATGTGACCAAGCAAAACGACCGAGTCACTCTACTGTCGTCTCAACAGAACCTCACCGGAAGCTCGTTGACCCTTTCAGAGATTGAAGACCAACAGGCAACTTGCGGTAGCCAGATCAAGACTGCCAAAGCCAATGTTGAAAAGATCACTGCGGATAGAGATGCTGCTAAGACCGAGATCTCTGCTCGTGAACGACAAGTCGCCACTCTTTTAAATGAGGTCAATTCAGCTCAGTACCAACTAGAAAAGAAGCAAGCTCTGTCCGACGCCATCAAGAACCTACAAGCTAGCAATCTTGAGCAGAATAAAGCCATCAAACATGCAAGCAAGAATCTCGAGTTGATCGAGCCAGAGCTGTCGACAGCACGAGCCCTCCGTGATGATGCGCTGACCCGTGGCGAACGCAAAGCTGATGTTGTCCGAGCAGATAAGAACAAGCTTAGCCAAACAGTCAATAAGTTAGATTTGATTGAGACTAGCATCGACAATTATTTGGCATCTGGCGCACAAAGCAAGCTCGCAGCCTGTGACAGAGCAATCGAGGCCTTGGACCAAGACCTGAAGCGCTATGAGAAGGAACTCCAGGACCTCACGACAAAAAGCAATAGGATCAAAGGGCTGATCGCTGATAGCAGTGTCACTAAGAGGAACATCCAGGAGAATATCAAGTATCGGAAATCCCTCAAGGATCTAGAGGATATTCAACGACAGGTCAATGAACTTCAGGCTCGAGATACCCATGATGAGGCTAAGAAGCTCACGAAGGAAGCACGCGCTGCCGAAACCCGTTGGCAAGTACTCAAATCTAAGAAAGAAGCGCTTTGTGCTCAGATTGCTGCCGAGGACCGACAGTATAAGGAGGCTATGCTCGAGTGGGACCAGGAATACGCTGGAGCTGCTCAGAAATGGCGCGAAGACAACGTCAAGGTCCAGACGACTCATGCGGCCGTTGAAGATCTGCAAAAGTGTACACAAGCATTGGATCGAGCCATCATCCAGTTCCATACTATGAAGATGGAAGAGGTCAACAGCATTGCAGCTGAACTCTGGCGAAGCACGTATCAGGGTACCGACGTTGATACGATCATGATCAAGTCCGAGGATGATCAAACCACGACGACGGCGAGTAACACGCGGAAGTACAATTATCGCCTCGTCATGGTCAAACAAGATGCCGAACTGGATATGCGAGCTAGATGCAGTGCTGGTCAAAAGGTTTTGGCCAGCATTATCATTCGTTTGGCTCTTGCCGAGTCTTTTGGTGCCAATTGTGGTGTAAGTTTAGTTACTATTCCCTACATATAGATACTGACAGACTTAGGTCATTGCTCTTGACGAACCGACGACAAATCTTGATACTGATAATATCAAGGCTCTTGCACGCTCACTGAACCAGATCATCAAGAATCGCAAGCACCAGAAGAATTTCCAACTCATCATCATCACCCACGACGAGGCATTTATTCGAGAGATGAAATGCAGGGAGTTTACGGATGAGTACTGGCGAGTCTATAGGAACGCTGACCAAAACAGTGAGATCAAGAAGCAGGATCTGAGTGTCATCGACGACGACTAATTGATGTCTCGGGAGTTTCGGGGAGCGTAAAAGTATCTGATTTTTTTCCTGGCATTTTGGGCGCAGCATAATGGTATGGCATGGCAGGCGTTAGCTAATGGGCATTTGGGTGGGATGTCGAGCACTGTGGGGACTTTGCTAATACCATAATGAAGAAATGTAATGAAATCTTTGCATTAGAACTAATGCAGATTTGCATTTGCCGGCCATGCCTTGAAAAGGTCCCCTCCATTTCCCTTGGTAAATGCAGCAACATTATTAACACTGTTAATTCAGAACCGGTCATTTTCCCCCTGAGCCACTCTTTGTAACAATCGTGCGGTGATACCTAGGTAGGTACCCCGAGAGTACCAACGTACAAAAGAAGCCTAGCGTGTCTCGCTTACAAGAATTTACCCCTTTTCCGTTCGAATGAAGATGTAATCTCAAGAAACTCAGTTCCGGATATGTTGACAGAAGCTGTCTGCGATTTATTTGCTCAAGAAGCCCTAGATATTGAGGGTCACTTAAAAGTTTCGGGCGGGTGGTGCGTAGTTCACTCATTCTCGTATTGGGAAGGATGGTCTTGGTTCTGGAGGGAAAGATGCTGCATTGTTTTGAGTTACTTGACTACGGCGGAATTGTCTTCGGTATTTTTAACAGCAAGCCACTCCACATTGGGACAGACATTGTTTTTTTTTTGTTTCCGTTGAAATTATCGAAGCTGAAAAAGATCTTACATAATGCTACCCAAATAAGTCGCGTATTCCAGGAGGCAAAGATCTATACTGCCAATTCAACGGCTGTAGAGGACTGCTATCTTCAACTTCTCCTCCACACCCGCAGGCAAACGAACTCCATCCCCCATCCTGTCATACAACCAAAGTTGTTTCTTCTCGCCCTCATCACCGAAACAGTGTCCAATCAAAGCAAACTTCCCACCGCTACCAGGTCTCTTCCCGGTCCGATGAAGAACCGCCTGCTTGATCTGCTTGAGCGTATCAACAAAGATACGAAGCTCATCCTGATGCAATTTCTCCCAGCTCTCGTACAGAGGCGGCATAGGATATATATCAACGTGCTCAACTTGACCATGATGGTTGTGAATGCCGACGTAGCAACGTTTGCAGTTTGTGAGCCATTGCTTGGGCATGCGGTGTGCGAGGTCCAAGGATGCGCCGTCGAGTTGAGGGATGATTTCAATGACTTTTGCATCCTTGACGATTGATCCGCGTACTTCGACTTTAACGTCTTGTTTTGCCAAGTTTTGGACGACCTGGAAAGATGGTACTCCAAGGCTTGCATCGAAGGGTCTGAAGATCGATGGTGCTGGCTCTATGGTGAGGACTAAGTCTTCAGTTCTCGTTGCTGGGGGTCCGCCTGTATATGCGTCCGCCTCATGATACATATGAAAATCGACTTCGCCAATAGAGTAGTGGTGTAGACGATGATGAGAAGTGGTGTTCACTCCATGCGGTAGATACGTGCAGCCTTTCTCAACTTCCTTCCCACTGCTCCAGTCTCTGAGACCCTTGGTGTTGTCCAAGCCCCAACGACTGAACATTACCGTCTCACCAAGGACATCAATATCAATTCTCCACGTATCGCGTCCATAGCCTAAGGCGTAGTGCAGAATCTTGGTCATGGAGTTGCGATTGGATACGATTGATAATGACGAGAAATCGAAGTCGAGTCCCTGGCGAACCCGTAACGATTTGAAGACAGCATAGAAGGGAGGTGAGCGTGTGACGATGTTCTGAGGTGGTGATCTTGAGTTTGGTGACCCCCATATAGCAGGACTACCTAGGTGAAAGTCAGTTCGTGTTTAGACTTCTTTCTCGGGATGGGAATTACTGACCAGGAACATAGATCGTAGGATTCATGTCATCTTTCCAGCTCCAAGAGGCTAAGCACTCTTTCTTGACGAGGCTGAGATGTGTGTCACTGCCAGAACTAGAACCTAGTGGGCGAAGGATAGCAGCAAAGTGAGCGCCAGTTCCAGACTTCAACTCTTCTTTGTCACGTATGGTGGAAGAAGACATTGCGCCAAGATTTGGTTGTGTCAATAATGTTTGGTAGTCTGTTTTGGAGAAGATGTGTGATCGAGTAAGAAGGTAGAAACGTTGAAGGATTCGAAATGATGTAGCTTCGCTAAACACGTCTTAGACTAGACATTTGTCTTTTGCTCTCTCTAAATTTCAATTTCAAAAAGAGAGCCGAGTCGAGTCACCTCGCCTAAAAAAGACCTCTCCTCGTTTGCCAAAAAAAAAGTCCAAAAAATGAAATTGTAGGAATCAGAAGCAAAAACTTCACTCCCGAAGGAGTGTCCAACACCATAGCTAGTATGGGGTTTAAAGGGGATAATCTTGAACCATTCGTATTTCAAGCACTCACGAGAGTATAAGAGAGGCACGGTAGCTACCGCAAGCGTCTATACCCTGGAGGCCGCTGTCTCAGAGGATGATACCAAAGATCTGCTTATTTAACTTTATAAGGTGTTAAAGAGGGCTAAGGCGGTGATTGGTCGAAGCTAGCACAACTGCCTAATTTCCACAACTCATTTGTGCTTAAAGAGTTCTGGTATCGGTATGACAAGGGTATCAGCCATTTGCGCAAATCGTGCGAATTGCGCGTAAAGCGCATTTCGCGCCAATAGCCAGATAAGCGATGCTTCTCACTCTCAGTAGGATTTTAGATCTCGAATCTCCTATACATCACTTTTCTCACTAGTTATTTTCTACATCAGTATTCAGAAGAAGATCTCCAACTCAATCCGAACTGTGCTGACTTTGACTCCCCATCTGGCAACAAGCAATAACCATCAAGCCTTCAACTCACATAATGACTGGATTTAATTGCATGTTCTTCTCTGCAAAACAGACATACCCTCAGCTCAACTTATTCTCTTTCTCGCCTATTCTTACAGACGTCATCGAAAGTCGTAATACTGATGGAAGGAAATTGAAAGATAATAAGCATCAAATCAAGGCAAACATCAACACATTCATAGCATCATGAAGCAGGATCACGTGAATCAAACTTTTGGAAGATCTCTTTTATTCATTGAACTATCTCTTTAATCGTAATGCAGTGTTCCTCCCAATTCCAGCTTTCAAGCATTCGATGGCACATCTTGCGAACCGCATCTGAAGCAAAACGATCTCCCACAAGTAAACCCATCGTCTCCACAACTTCTGAACGTCCCACCAGGAGTCTTCACAACGATTGTCACCTGTTCTACCTTTAATGATTCTGCTATAGACCTCTTCCGTGTCGGGGTCAAGAGGTCAGCGAGAGGTGAGCTTGAACTGTCTGCAACCTTTTGACGTCTAGCTCGTTCTCGTCGAGGAGGATTCAGGGTAGACGAAGGCGGTGATGACTCTTCTGTTGCCGAGTCGCGGATCTCTTTCGAATCAGGCGCTCGACGACTTGGTGTGAGATTTAATAACGGAATGCTTGTGCGAATCGGAATCTGTCGACGAGATACGGATGGAGTTATCTGCGATAATGGCACGCCGGCTTGAGAGCTTCTCCTGATCTGCTGCTCGGTCCTGTTATTTGGCAGAGCAGGTAGCTCAGGTAACGATGATTCATCTTCCACCTTGATAGTGGTTTTCCTTGCGATTGGTGCTATTGTAGATGGAGAAGACCCTTCCACGGCCAACTCGTCCGGGGAGGAGCCGTCTCGCAACGCGCTGAATCTACGCTTCTTCGTTCCAGGACCGGAAACACGGCGTGGGGTATTCATCACGCTTTCCTGCTTCACGAAAAACTGAGTTTCTGGCAAAGCTGTCTTCCTAGGTTGCGAGGACAAGAGGACAACGTCATCTTTGTCGAGACTCAACTCGTCGAAATCCTCAGCGTCAAGTGCCATCCGAAGAATAGATTGTCGAATGGCTTTCTGGGCTGATGGGGTGGTAAACGATACGTGGGAGCTGGGCTTGACGACTCGATTCAACTTCTTCGCGAATGTCGTCGTAGGGCTCTTTGTAGCTTTGGCATTGTCTAAGGTAGTTGAAAGAGGGCCCATAGAGGGGACAGCCATTGGAGCATGAGTCGAACCCATCTGGATTGATGACTTTACCGACGGACCCGTCGGAGCAAATTCAACGTGGCCTTCTTCGTCAGAGAATTCGTAGGCTGGATCCAGTATGTTTCGTTGCATGGTCGTAGTCGGCTGTGATGGCGGCATCATAGGATTGGGTGCGAATTCGAGCGGACTCGATGGCATCATCACTTGAGCTTGCGAGGGTAATTGTGCCAAAGGAGAACTGGGATCGGGAGTTTCTTTGATCACCGTCGTGGGTTGCTTGACCTCCGAAGGCTCTGCGAAATGCTCTGGCTGCATAGATACAATGCTACTCCGTCTGTCGTCAAAGAAAGAGAGAGGCGGGTCCAGAGAAGCTGCGGTAGCGGTGTCAGGACTTAGTAATGAATTACCAGCATCTATGTTGGTTCCCTTGCTATGGCGAGATGAAGACGCTCCCAGATCGGGTGATTCATAAACAAGCTGAGAGCCCAACCCACCAGAGCTGTTGATTGTACTCCGGTACGCCTGCATGGAAAGACCATCCGAGTAGTCCAAGTACTGCTCGTTATTGCCTTCAGCTTCCTCTTCAACCGAGGTCTTCATCGCTGATGGATGGTGAACTCTCATTGAGGAGACACTGGTCATTCGTGTAGAATGTGAAGCACCAAATGTTGTAGTGGGTGCACGCGGAGTACGATCAGTGTCCGAGAAAGATGATCGTTGGTGGCTGCTGCTTGGTCCCCGTACACTGGGAAACTTGGTTGGTGACATGAAGTCAGAGTCTCTTGGCTGACTGACTGGGCGGTATGAGAGGTCATTTGGTGGTGTGGTGAGCTTGACGTTGAGGTCGAGTAGTTCTGAGTCAACACGCCCTCGTAATCGTTGCAAAGCGCCAGCATGTGGATGGAATTTTCTAACATGTTTGACCAGGTCTGCTTGCATGAAGTATCCTTCTTCACCCTTGCGTGGACAACTCGTCTCACCACAGGGAAACGGAGTTGTATGATGTACTCTAAAAAGATGAAGGCACATCTCGGACAATTGTTCGTCATCACGACGTTGCAGCCGGTATAAAATGTTAGAATAAGCTCTACATTCTGCATGGGGACAGGGCGCGCCAGGAATCAAGTGCTGTTCTGGCGTAGGAGCAACCTCATCGTCCGAAAAGTCACCAGTCAAATCAATTATCTTTCTAGGTGTGACCTTTGGACTGGGTGCGGTTGTTTGCCGAGGAACCGCTTTGGTGTTTGCTGGTTTGACATCCTGCTTCGTGGTTGTGACTGATGAACGACTGAAATTCAGGTTGCTGTACTTGGAAATTCCTGCGTCTTTCAGCATATCGGCGTGGAGGTCTGGATCTAGTGATTCTAAGGCATCAACAGCCTCGGACCAACTGATGATTCTAGAGTCTTTCTGTGCTGGTCTCCGAATTCTATTCGGCCGCGTTGAATGTTGAGCAGGATTGTGTGAACCGAAGTTTGTACGAGCTGGTGCGACTTGAGGTCCTACATATAGTGAATTTACAGATGGTTCAGAAACAGAAACTTCCGACTCTTCCGTGGAATTCGACAAAAGATAGGTGAAGTGGCGTTTGTAGTGTTGTTTCCATGTTTGCCATTTGTGGCTTGGGTGCTGTATGTAATTAATGTGTGTTCTTCACTTACAACTGGGTACTTACAATTGCCTCTAGCTCTTTCCACGAGTGATCGTTCAAGATTTCTCCTTTCCGCCGAACACGGTTTACCCAGTCGAGGATAATCTGGTCTTCTTCCTCTGTAAATCCATTTCTCGTTCTTCTTGACCCTGAAGCTTGGTCATGAGTTCCTATACCGATGTGATCGGGAGCATATCTTTCTTGCTGTTTTGAGATATGCGAACTCTCCCCAAATTTGGCAGATGTAGACACATGGGTTCCCTTCCTCCGGCCACGCTGCTGTGGAAGTGCCCATATTGAAGTGGCCTCCTCTGGAGAAGGAGAGCGCTCAGCCTCAGGAGGTAAAATGATAGGTTTCTTGACTTCTCGCTTCCGTGACTCGAAAGCTGGGAGTTTGGGAGCTCTCCAAGCTGGTTCGATGGGAGTTTTATCTGGAATGGATTGTTTTGAAACATAGTCGACAATTTGTGGACCAAGTTGTGGGCCGAATTGAGCTAATATTTCCGACCGCGAAGGAAGCGCTTTCTTTTGAGTATTCGGCATGAAGGGAGGCGGGGCATGAACATTTCGAGGTTTCTGTGGTCGAACCACCTGTTCCCTCAGAGATACCAGTTCAGGTGAAGGTCGCTTGAACCGAACAGCTTGAGCAAAACCACGTAGAATCAAGTCGTCCTCCATCATCTCGTCTTCGCTGCCTTCGTCGCTGTCGTCCTCGTCGTCTTCTTCGTCCATATCAGACATTTCTTGTAAGACACTGCTGGGAAGTTCCTCCGACTCTTCGGTCAATTCTGTCGGTACACTATGCGCTAGATTGACATCGCCAGCATCTCTTTCATCCAGCATTTCGAGAATATGTCCATTGTTGACTACAATCTCGCCCGTCGCAAGATCAATCTCGTCTCCAACACCATCGAAATCCTTCCCATACTTCTCGAATATGGATTCGAAAGTTGATTTGAGCTTGTAGTCTAGTCGCGCGCGTTTCTGTTGGAAGTCTGACTCTGGATCAAGGTCCGGCAGCGCATCTTCGACTTGTTCGTCCTCCTCTTCCTCTTCCACCACGAAATCATCCTCATCGTAATAGACCTCTTCGCTGTCGAAGCTCTGCGGAAAGGCAGGACCAACTGGAGAATATAATCGTTGTCGCTTGGGGAATGGCTCCATCTTGGATATGCTGTAACATCTCAATCTTTTGCATTGAGGATTGCGCTCGTGAAAAGTAGATACTGTACAGATACTCTTCGCGCGCGTCGAGGTCGCGTTGCGATAGAGTGTTTTGCATAATCTAGCACAATTACTAGCGCGGGGCTTGCATAATCGGCATAATCCCTGCCAGCCTCGCGAATGACCTCCAAGCTTCTGAACATCATCAGCCTCGCCATCACGTCTACAAAGTCCGACATTCAAGTACCTTTTCATCCAAACTGCATGTAAGGATGAATATCCTAGCGACGAAACGAAATAAGTGATGCGACAACTCTCCAAGCACATATTCTCTTTCAACGTTCACGATGCCGATATACTGCCAGAAATGCCGGACACCACTGAAGCTCGATAGCTCTTTGGAAGACCTCAACCCTGCCGCCTTCGATTTACTTGTTGGTGGGTATCCCTATCGCCTCTACCTGACATAGTGACTGACTATTACAGGCGCGACTTCACAACAATACCCAAAGAACACCTTCTCTCGCCCTCCATACCCCGAAGGACGACGAAAGCTGTACGAGCAAGTCTCCAAGAATGCCGGACCTCCCACAATCAGACGTAACCTTGCGTCAGGTCATCGAAGTGATACCGCTCCACCAAGTCTAGGTAACCCGGCCATGTCGTTTGTTATGCTTACGGAGTCACAAGTGGTACCGCCATCAGTTGTTGTGAAGTCGCCAGAAGATACAAATCCCGGGAACAACCGCCATGATAAAGTCGTTGCTCTGGACGGACAAGACGAAGGGAAAGCCATGTCGCAGGATATGGAACGAGCCTCTAGGCTCTTCGAGATACTCTCGGCACGATCAGACATCGATCATCCTGTGTGCACAGAATGCACGGATATGCTGGTGGCAGGATTACAGCACAGATTAGAAGCAGCTACAAAAGAGAGAGATGCCTACGTTAGCTTCCTTAAGCAAGTGAATGCCGAAATCCCAACAGAAGAAGAGGTTCAAGAATCAAAGGATGCCTTGGCCAAAGCCAGGAAGGAGGAAGAAGCTGCCATCGAGGAGCTGAAGAAGCTAGAAGCAGAGAAAGCCGCCGTCGACGAAGAGATCGCCCAACTTGAAGAGGAAGCCCGATCATTAGACATCGAAGAAGAGAAATTCTGGCGAGACCGCAACGCTTTCGCCATGAAGCTCGCAGAATTTCAAAACATCCGAGATAGCGTAAATCTCCAATACGACCACGACACCCAACTCCTCGAGAAACTGCAACGAACAAACGTCTACAACGACACCTTCTGCATCTCCCACGACGGCAAATTCGGCACCATCAACGGCTTACGTCTCGGTCGACTCTCCAACGTCCCCGTCGACTGGCCCGAGATCAACGCCGCCTGGGGCCATACCGTCCTCCTCTTACAAACCGTAGCCGATAGACTCGGCTACAAGTTCCAAGGCTACGAACTGCAACCCATGGGCTCCACATCGCGGATCATCCGCTACGAAACCCCCAACCCGTCCTCATCACGGAACAGCCCCCGAGCAGGCAAGAAACACATCCTGGAGCTCTACTCCAGCGGCGACATGCCTCTCGGCCTCACGTTCATGCACCGCCGCTTCGACATCGCCATGGAAGCCTTCCTCGAATGCATGCGCCAACTCGGAGCCTTCGTCGAGGCGGAATCGGCAAAGAGTAGTGAGAGCGGGAGGGGATTGGCGTTGCCGTATAAGATCGATGGTGCTATGATTGGGGACGTGAGTATTAAGCTGGGTATAGCGCAAGACGATGCTTGGAGTCGAGCGTGCAAGTTTACATTGACTTGTTGCAAGTTCCTGTTGGCTCATGCTAGTAATGTTAATGCCGCGAGTGGGAGGAGGGGTGTATGATAGCTAGGTATCTGGAGTTTGGATCATGGCGCTGAGTTACAAGCAGGGAGGAAGGGCATTTTAGGCGTTAGGACACAAACATCGAGAGAGTACAGTACATAGAGAGGGGTCAATGAAAACGAGGAGTCTTAAATGCTTGCATGCACGCTATCTACAACGTCCCACCATCGCAATTATCACTCCCTATTCATCCATCTGACGTGCGCGCAATTTTATCTCAGTCCATCCACCGTCCCCAGAAGAAGGTCCTAGTGCTATCGTTCCGTCTCAGGGTATGCATCGAAGGCTCCAGCACCAACGGAAAGAGTCATAACGCCATCCACCATCACGTCCCATAATCATCGATCACTTCCCCTAAAGTTGGAGACTCCATGCTCGTGGTCTTTCATGCAAAGTGTAAGGTAAGAAAAGCGCTCAATTGTCCGCGTGGCAGTGATTACTGACAGAAGAGAAGATCGAATCCGTGAAATAAGTACCACTACGTCCATTTGTCGTCGCAGCTTTAGCTGGCTTCGGTCTGGATTGGACCAGCGAGTCGGTTTCGTTGCTCGGCTTCACGGACCGGGGCAAAGAAGGGGTGAGCCATAGCTTCCTTGGCAGTCAATCTCTCCTATGAGACTCGTTAGCAGTAGCCAAATAATTATATAGCCTAAACAAACCTGGTGATCATATCGAAGCAATTTATCCAAGAAATCGATAGCCTCATTGGTCACAAATCTTTGGTTTTCAGAGTTAACAAAGCTGTGCCAGTTCTTCTTCGGGAATCGACCTAGAATATCATCATATTGTGCGTCCAACTCAATCTCGTACTTGTCAAGGTAGTCGAACAAGTCTTCTGTGCCGAGTACCTTGGCAATCTTGACCAATTGATCCGAGTTGCTGTTACCGTGGAAGAAGGGCTCCTTTCTGAAGATCATCGATGCAAACATAGCACCTAAAGACCACATGTCGAGCGAGTAGTCATATTCTTGGAAGTCGACCAACAGTTCAGGACCCTTGAAGTATCTCGAAGCCACACGGACATTGTATTCGGTTCCTTGGTGGTAGAATTCGGCCAAACCCCAATCGATAAGTCGCAGCTGCCCATAATCAGTATCCAATCATGGTTTTGAGGCTGAAGACCCACCTTTCGCTGTTCGTGATCAATCATAACGTTGTGTGGCTTGACATCTCTATGCATGATCCCCTTGCTGTGGCAGAAGTCCAGCGCCTAATTCTATCAGCTATGAATCACGGCCACAACCCTCGAATATCCTACCTTGAGTAGCTCGTAGATGTAGTATCGGACATCGTAGTCGACGAATTTCGGGTAGAGGGAGCGGAAGTCTGTGTTATTAACGTACTCGAAGATCAAGGATGGTGTTTTGCTCTGCATAAAGTATGAGTCGTTGGTCTCGTCATCAGGAGAAACATATCCATCGCGCGCTGATTTTCCTTCCCCAGCTTTGGGCGCAGCGGCTGGATCATATTGAGGAGAGGATTGATTTACTTGTTGGTCCCTGACAACATCCAGCAGCGCGACGATATTAGGGCCGCCTGAGAGATTCTGCAGGATCTTGATCTCCCTCTTTATCTTCTTCTTCTTGACCGGCTTGAGGACCTTGATGACGCATTTCTGGTAGTTGACGACGTTGATGCCTTCGAAGACCTCCGAGTATTTTCCTCGTCCTGAAGCGCACCTTGTTAGCCCTGCATGTGAAAAAAGGGAGAGCGCAGGTCTTACCGATCTTGCGTACCACCTCATAGTTCTCCAGAACGCCCCAGGTAATGTTGACGCTGTCATAGTCCCAGTAGGACCGTGGCATGGTCTGGTTGACATCTGCATACACACGCGCCATTTCGCGGCGGGCCTGCTAGGCAAGGCACAGCGCAAAACGGATAGGAGCCGCGGATGGGATGGGAAAGGGAAAGACGACGAGGTGGTGCTGGTGTCGCCGCAGCAGACAGGCGCACAAAGAGATTGTGGGGGGTTGTCAAACGTCGCGAGCGAGGACTTTACAATGGAGCGAGCACCCCGCGATCAAGTGCTCTGTGAGATGCACCAGATGGGCTCGTGCCGATGGACTGGACGGAGAAGGTTACGAGGTTTGATGTGCTTCGGTGAGAGAGCGAGCAACCCGTCGCTAGCCAGAATGGGAGGCGGGTTGCGTTAGTGGCCGCCTTGAAATTGAGGATGAAATTATTTTTGGGTGGATCCTCGAGACTGAGAAGTTGAAGAACTGGTAGTTTGCTTCTGACAGTCTCTTTCTTTGTTGACGACGATTCAATTTGTACTTTGGAACTAGCGAGCTCGGAGAGTTTGACTCTGGTAAGATCTGAATCGCTCTTTCCTTTTCAGTCAACCTTTGGATGTTTTCTCCACATTCACAAAGCTCGAGGCTGACTTGACTCAAAGCACGTTATTCTGCCAACAACGAATCTGCAAATCGACCAATTCATACGAAAGCGATCGAATACGTGGGTGCCATTGACCGGAACTCCTTACTACATCTTGGAATCATACATCCTTTGAGCGGAACATCTGCAGACATTGGCGCAAAGAAGCAAGCTCCGCATACGTGCAAAGCTTGTCCAGTACAAAGGAAAGCCGCAGATTTTAAGAGGATATACCTCAAAGGCCCCTGCATACAAACTGCCATCCACCAGGCGGTATCAGACGAGTTGGAGGTAGCCTGGCAGAGCAGCCACACCATCACCACAATGCTCTACGACCTCAATGTCCCTTGGTCACCAAGCCAAGACTCCGCTCAATTACAGAGAACCATATCCTTCCTCTCAGAAGCAGGCTACTCAGCTCTCGCCCTCAACCACACCATAAAAAGTCCTCTCCCCCCTCAAATAACAAACCCCATACCAACAACCCTCCCCTTCACCCTCCCACCAAAAACCACCCTCCTCCGCCGCTGCACCCTCACAATCTCCGACCCCTCACTCAACCACCGACTCCCAAACCTCGCCTCCGCCTACGACATCCTCGCCCTCCGACCCACGAGCGAAAAGGCGTTTCTCTCAGCATGTCAATCACTGACAGAGCACTCCATAATCTCGCTCGACATGACTCAACGATTTCCCTTTCACTTCAAGCCGAAACCGTTCATGACGGCTGTCAATAGGGGGATCAGGTTCGAGATCTGTTACGCGCAAGCTACGATGGGAGATGCTGGCTCGAGGAGGAATTTTATAAGCAATTGCTTGGGTATACTGCGTGCTACGAGTGGAAGGGGTTTGATTGTTAGCAGCGAAGCTACGAGCGTGTTGGGAGTTCGAGCTCCGGCCGATGTGTTGAATCTACTGTCAGTCTGGGGACTAGGAAAAGATCGAGGATTGGAAGCTCTGGATGTGAATCCTAGAGGGGTGGTTATGAACGAGGGACTAAAGAGAAGTGGATTTAGAGGAGTGGTTGATATCATCGATGGAGGAGACAAGCCTACTCCGAAAGAAAAGAACACACCGACCTCTAACGGGGCAGGAAAGAAAGGCAAACGGAAAGCAACATCAGGATCCCAACAACTCAGCTCAGAAGCCCCTCTCAGCAAACGAGCAGCAAAGAAAGCCCGCCTCGCAGCCGTGAACCCAGAACCAGATACCTCTCCCCCTCCACCCGCCACAGAACTAGACACCCCTAGCGAAATAAAAACCACCACAAATGGCTAAACCCACACATGTTCGAGCAGTCTCTTTTTGCTTTCTTTTAAAATGAAGTGAACGTTATCTACAGTAACAAAACCGGAATTGCTCTCCCTCTGTATATGTCTCCAGGACCAAACAAACACACATCCCCCTCCCCCTCCATCTGTCTTTCTTTTGGTATTATCCCCCCACCCCACCCCACCCCAGCAACCACAACGCCATCCATCCATCCATCCATTCATTAACTATCCCCCTCCCCCTCCCTCTCCCAGCTAAAAAAAATCAAGGCTTAGCCTTCGCACTAGCCAAGCTCCCCAAAACCAACGAGCTCGTCAAGCTAAACGTCGAGATATTGATCGGGTCACTACTACTCGGCTTCGCCACCTGCGCAGCCGCCGCCCCCGCCGGCGCCGTAACAGACAGCAGCAGACTCGAGGCTTCGCTACTGGTCGTTGCACCTGCTGCTTGAGCTGAAGCTGCTGCAGTCGTCTTCTGAATAGCGGCACTTGACAGCGTCGCTGAGTTAGCGGCTGCTGGGTTTGCTGCCGCAACACTACTTGTAGCCACGGAACTTGTACCGGAGACAGCGGCAGCGGAAGCGCCTGCAGCAGTAGTCTTCTGAATAGCAGCCGAAGTAAACGTCCCCGAATTACCAGCGGCGGCGGGTGAAGCAACGGTCGCGAGCGTGGTGCCTGCTGCGGCTGGAGGCGCGCTCATGGCGGCGACGTTCGGGAAGGAACCTGCGCCGCAGAGGCATTGGCAGTTGCAGGCCCCGCCGGCGACGATGGTTCCTGTGCCTTGGGCGAGGGCGCCGGGGGAGCCGACTGCGGGGGCGGCGCCTATGGATGCTGGAGGTTGTTAGTGTTGGGTGGAGGAGGGGGGAGAATAGAGGGCTTACCTGTGTTGCCGGCTGCCGCGTTGGAGGTCTTGACTATCACTGCTGTGGTTCCGGTTCCGGCTACCATGCCGGGTGGTGGGGAGACGCCTGCTACAGAAGCAGCTGCTGGTGAGGCTCCTACTGAGGCTAAGGGTGTTAGATATATCATTCATGAGGGAGTAGTAGAACTCACCAGTTGCTCCAGCCGCTGGGTTGGATGTCTTCACAATCACAGCCGTGGTACCAGTCCCAGCAACCATTCCCGGAGGTGGAGATACACCTGCGACCGAAGCACCTGCTGCGGCGTTGTTGACCGTAACGGTGACTTCTTGGGTGATCATTTGCGGAAGCGGTGTGACGGTGATTGTTGGCGCGGGTCCAGTTCCAAATACTGTCATCGTAACGAAAGATAATTGAAGACCACTATCCAAATCAGCATTCTTTCCAACATGATAGAAGGAAGCACCAAACATACTTCGCTGCCGCTCCTCCAGTTCCCCCAGCCGAAGCTGCGTTTACCGTTACCGTCTTCTCGATGGTGACAGTCTTCTCAGCCCCTCCTGCTGCACACGTTGCATTGCTCCTTGAACCTGCTCCTCCAGTACCGGCTGCTGCTGTTACTGCCTTCGTGACTGTGACGGTCTTCTCGGCGTTGGCGTTCCCACCGCCTTGTTTGGCTCCTGCATTTCCTCCTTTTCCTGCGCCGTCCAACGCTCCTAATGCTCCCAGTAGATCTGCTAAGCCATCTCGTCGTACGGGTTGCGCGAAGGCAGAGTCACACTATCCACCGTCAGCCAAATAACTAATCATCGACTCCCCTAACAATGAGTTCCTACCTGTACTAAACTCGACAGACCAGCGACGACGAGTATTGATGTCGATAGAAAGTTCCTCATTGTATGTATAATTACTCGGATCCACGACCCGTAAAACTGAAAGACGGCCCTAAACCAAGATTGAAATGAAAGGTTCCAACAGACCAGCCGTGGTGGTGTGTTAGAATGAACGACGTCTTGGGGGGGAAAGAGAAAAAAGAGCGTGACCGGCAGCTGCAAGAAACAAATTCAATAGGACGAGAGTCGCAAAAGAAGAAGAATTGGCGATACGGAAGAAAAGGTTCAGCGGCAGCGGGAGCCAGACATGCAAAGAATCGAGGGAGACGGAAACGTTAACGAAGGCGATCCGACACCGTGCGTACGGGCATTGGGCGCTTTGATGGAAGGAATGGAGCACGCCGCGCAAAACGTCGAAAAAGAGATCCTGAGGGAGAGAGAGGATCCTAAAATGGAGGCAAAAGATGAGATGAGATGAGATGAGGCACGAAAGAGAAAAGGGAGGGATCCATCCACCAGCAACGCAACGCTGCTTGACTGAGTTCGAGAAAATGCGTGATTCAATGATCCATCCATCACCTCAGCGTTTCGCTCAGTCCCCCAGCACTTGGAGGGGCCGACGAGCAAACAGTACGACGACGCAGCACTGCTGGTGGTTCGACGGATTGGACGGCGGTCGTGCGCCAAACAGTCTCATGGGAGTCGGAGGATGCGGTTTGGCGAGCGCTGGTCATACACGGCAGTCTTGGAAATGGGGGGGAGAATATGGGCAAATTTGGGAGATTTGGGAGGGTTTGAGGCCATCCCCGACAGTTGAGGTTTCAACAAGCACTGTAGCGAAGGGAGGTTGAACCTCGAGTCGCAAGGGACGTCCGAGAGGCCAATGATGAACCTGGACCGGCGCCATGGGATTGAATTCCTATCGGAGCTTAGATCGTACTGTACGGACGTTAATAATAAGACTGTACTGTAATGCAGTGCACTCCACAGAATTAATCCGCAATCCACTTCGATCCGCAGGGCAGGGCAGGCAGGGCAGGCAGGGCAGACAGGGCTCCATCAAGATGAAGATGATGCCAAACATCCTCAGTTCGTGCGTGATGCGGCTGTTTCTGGGGCCGCTCTTGTTTCGTTTGATGGCGCAGGCACCACGAGTCCCTCAGCCGAAGAATCAAGCAATGCGGCGACCATCTGTCCGCATTGCAGGAAGGCTTGGAGGAGAGTGATTCTGTGGTGTGTTCCTGACTGACTCTTTGATCCGAAGAAAAGCAATTCGGATGGCATTATTGTTGAGTTGAGTTGAGTCTGAAGTCAAAAAGAGAGTTGCTAAGCTTATTCCATCTGGAAGCTTGGCTTGCTTTGCTTTGCTCTGCTCTGGACGGGTCGTGTCAAGTCCGCGACGTGGGAGTCGAGATTCCGTGTGGCCGACCAGCGATGCATGATGCGATCATATCAAACGTGTTAATGTATCCGAAAGGCTGTTCAATACGTAGGAACATGAAAGTATGATTCTGGATTAACATATCATCGAAAGGTTGTAATCGAGATCTAGAAAGGTTCCTCAGCCTTACTGCAAGCAAGTGGCGGACAATCACTCTCTCCGAGTACCGTCAGACCTAACCACTCAAGGACTAGTTCCTGCTGAATAAATCGATGACGATCTTGAGTCTTGACATCTGCGCATCGAGCTTTTGTAGGGCTACGCGATGAAATCTACCCAAACTTCGCATTCGTCTATTTACAGTCGGAAAAGTCGGTGTCGATGACCACCCAGCAGCTGGGCTGACATCAAGAATACGTATCCTCGAGAGCAGGCTGTGCCTCATTTCTTCAATACTTAATATCATAATTCCTTCCATCTGAAACACTTTCTCATACAACCTTCACGACGTCGAAGTACCAGTATACCATCGACATTCAAGATGGAAGTCCACGTACTTGATAACTATTATCTTGCCATCACTCTTCTAATTACTATTGGATATCAACTATTTTTCTTCTCCATTGCATTTTCTCTGAAGTTTGACAAGCTCACTGGTCAGTATTCCTCAAACCCCACCAACACCGCCCTAATTATATACTCCAGACTTCGCTGGCGGAACCAATTTCGTCGTCTTAGCTATCATTACCCTCGCATTCAGCGGCCATCACAATGCACGTCAAATCGTATGCTCGTTATTCATCATGGTCTGGGGCGCTCGTCTCTCCGCCTTCCTCTTATTCCGCATCTTGAAGACTGGCAAAGACGATCGGTTCGACGACAAGCGCGACAAATTCTTCCCCTTCTTGGGCTTCTGGGTATTCCAGATGATCTGGGTCTGGACGGTCTCTCTGCCAGTCACAGTCCTCAACTCGCCAAACGTTACTCAGTACCCGCAACCCGCTTTCGGCACCGGAAGAGACATTGCGGGTGTGATCTTGTATGCGATTGGGATGATTATGGAGAGTGTCAGTGATGTGCAGAAGTATCTGTTTAAGGCTAGGCAAAGTGATAAATCTGCCATCTGCGACAAGGGATTCTTTTCCTGGACCAGACATCCGAATTACTTTGGCGAGATAATCATCCAGTTCGGTAAGCCTCCTCACACTTTTGTGTTAGTCATATCTAACATTCCCAGGCATCTACATGATCGCAGTCTCCCCAGCGGCAAATGGCTACGTTAAGGGACAAGCATACAAAGCCCTCTACGCCACGATCCTCGGCCCCTTCTTCCTCACCATCCTCCTGATGTTCGTATCCGGCCTAACGCTCCAAGAACGCCCCGGCGCGAAGAAGCGATACGAGAAGAACAACCATTGGGAGGAATACTCGAGATATCTGAACCGAACGAGTATCTTGATCCCATTCCCACCTCAACTATACGAGAAGATGCCTACTATCTTGAAGAGAACCATCTTCTTAGAATTCCCAATCTACGTCTTCGATCCAGCGAAGCATTCGGATGCCGGGAAAGGACAGTCGGGGGCAGAAGAGGGAAATGCTCATAAACCAAGCACAAGCACGGATAATAGGCAAAGTGGAGATCGCTTAGTTAATAACCAGTGAATGGGAATCGAAGAATAGGATAATGTCTATAGTATGAACCGAACATAGCAAAGGCGTTTAAGGGCTACGATGTCATGTATAATGCAGTACTGTACTTTCTTAATCCTCCAATAGCTTTGAAGTTAGCACATCCTTGCAATAATCATGTGATCGGGCGAATGAGTCAACGTCACGTCGCGTTCAGCTCTTGATGTTCTACTTGGATATAAACATTCTCTGTTGTAGAAGTTGCCTACTTTATTCAATTATCTTTCACCCTTTTTTCCGATTACTCTGATCACCAATCAACCCTCAAGTCTGTATAGAGTAACTACCTGTAAGTTTCCCTCCTCTTACCTCTAAACCCCACCACCCTCTCTACACCCTCCCTAATCCACTCCTCCCCTCCCCCTCCATCACCCAACTAACTCCTCCCAGCCTCCCAGCCTCCCAGCAAAATGAACGTACAATGCCAATGCGGCGCAATCCGCTTCCAAACACCACTGCCCAAACCACTCGCAGTCTACATCTGCCACTGCGACGAGTGTCGGCGGCAGAGCAGCTCGGCGTTTGGGTGTTCGGCTATTTTCCCGAAGTTTGAATTGCCTGGTAAAAGGGGGAAGGGGAAAGAAGGGGGAGGACAGAGGGGGTTGAGTTGTTATTCGTGAGTTTTTTCTCTCTCTGTTTGTTTGGTTTTTGGTTTTTTGGGTCTTAGGGGAGGGGAGATGGAAGGGTGGTTTTGCTTGTTTTTTTTGAGAAGAGATTGGAATTGTAACCCTTGAGGAAGTTGTTGTTCGCATTTCTTTTACTTGTACTCGATTTCCTACTCTCTTGAAATTTCCCTGCTTTCAAGTCTCCATCTAGCTGTTCAGCACTTCCTATTGCTTGGATTCTCATTGCTCTCTAAACTTTTCATGCCCTCAAATCTCTACCAATTCAACACCTCCTATTTCTTCTCCTCCCCTCTTCTCCTCCCCTACCTCACTTATCACCTGTCAACTCAACTAACCCCCCCTCCCCCTCAGACGCCCAACATCCTCCGGCCACCAACTAAACTGCTACTTCTGCACCAACTGCGGCACGCGCCTCATCCACTCCACGCCCGGGAAAGACGTCGTTAGCGTCAAGGGTGGCTGCATCGAGGGTCTAGATTGGAGTACCGCGCGGCATATTTGGTGTAAGCGTGCTGTGAGTATTGAATTTCCCCATTTCTCCCTTTCTTCCCCTACCCTTTCACCAACCCTACCTCTTCATCCTCCAACAACAGGCCTGGAGAGGAAAATAAAGGAAAGGAAATGCTAACCAAAAAAAAAGATGATACCAATCCCCGAAGGCGTAGAGCGCGACGAAGAGGAACCCGCTGATGAAACGTACGGCGACATGAGCATGAGCGACGGAGGAGATGACCGGCGTTCTCGCGCGCGGCTTGTGGAGGGGAGCACCATTTGTCCGGAACTGAAGATTGAGAGTTCCCAAGCGAAAGATAGGGAGAAGGTTACGTTGAAGAGGGGTGAGGAGGAGGATGAGATTCGTGGGTAATTTTTGGGTTTTTCTTTGGGGGAGGGTTTGGATTTTTGAGTTTGGCTTATTTTGGATTGGTTGGTTGGTTGGTTGGTGAAATAATGAGATTCTTGTACATTTCAGGTACCCAGTAGAGGTATAGGACGAACAATCAAGCCATACCCCCATTAACCCGAATCACCTGCCCCGTAACCCACTTACTGCCCTCCCCCGCCAAGAACGCCGCCACATCCGCAATCTCCTCCGGGGACCCAATCCTCCCTTGCGGATTAAAACCCGCGATCATCTTCAAGACCTGCTCGTTCTTCCCCTTCATAAAGAGGTCTGTGGCTGTTGGGCCCGGAGCAATGGCGTTAACTAAAATCCCCTTTCTCGCGAGGTCTTTAGACAGGATGCGCGTCATCTGGTCGATTGCTCCTTTGGAGGTGCAGTACGCGAGGTAATTGGGCGTCACTGTCGAGGCGGCGTTGAGCGTTGTAGAGAAGAGGATGATTCGTCCTCCGGAGGTCATGTGTGGGATAGCTTTCTATTCATTCATTCCATTAACGCTTATTTCCCTTTGTGTTAAGAAGGAGAGAGAGAGAACTAACCTGCGTTAAGAACAAAGGCCCCTTAACATTAACACTCATAACCCTATCAAACTCCTCCTCGGTCAATTTCTCTAACTCACTCAGCGGCATGATGCCCGCGCACGCAACGACGATGTCCAACTTCCCGAATCGTTCGATGGTAGCATCGACCAGACGCCCGACGTCCGAAACGCTGCCGACGTCCGCTTTCACGGCGAAGGCGTGCTCGGCGCTGATTGCTGAGATGGTTTCGTTGGCTGAGGTGCTGTCGCTGGAGTAATTTACGACGACGTTGGCGCCGGAGGCGGCGAGGCGGAGGGAGAGGGCGCGGCCGATGCCTTTAGAGCCACCCGTTATGAGGGCTACTTTTCCAGCGAGGGGTTTGGTTGTCATTGTAAGGTGGGGTGGTTGGGGTTTATGAGATGGTGGAAGTTGTGAGGTTGAGGGGAAGAATAGCTTGTGGAAAGTGAAATATCAATAGATTGTAGACAAAGACACTTGAATTGTGATGATTGAGAAAGGGATGAATATGAGAGTGAGTGAGACCGTATATATACTTGAAAGGCTTTGATGTCAAGGCTGATGGCCACTAAAGCCACCAGCTGCAAGCCAACCCAACCTTGGGAGCTGTCTCCACTACAGAGCAACAGTTGGCATGTGAAGGTTACCCATTCGAACAATGGGTATTGTACAGAGTTACCTTAACTCCATTTCCATGGGAACAGGAAATAGAGAGGAAATAGCGCTTATTAAAGGATTTAGGAGTTTGAAATAATAAGTATATAGAAATGTTGTTGTGGACCCTGGAGTTTTGAGGTGGTTCGCTCTTAGATCCGCGGCGATTAGGGATGTAAGAACGTTGAAATAAGGACCGTGGATTTGGGATGGCCTGGGCTTACAATGAGCTTCACAGGCGAGCTTTGGGAACATGGAAAGCTGCATATTTGATGTATGGTCCTTCGACGGCGGCCAGCAGCAAGGCTGGCTTGTCTATAGATTTGCTATTGGAGAATGTTACTCGTCCTTTAATCGAATGTCGGTAACGACGACAGTTGTTGAGCTATTGTCTAGACCCCCTATGGCCAAGGAAAAGAAGTTACTTGATGCGCCACAGCCATTCGGCCTAGAATGGCAATGTCCAGGTGGACATGTCCAAACTTGCCTTTTGGTGGCGAAATCTGGACGTGACAGTACTTTCAGCATATGAAGAAGTATCTGGAAGGCTTCAAAGGGAGCAATTTCGATGGTATTGAATTCCATGTGCAAATATATTTGGAAATCTGGTCATCGGAGGTCGGCAAAATGGCTTGAAAGAGGTGCCTGGCGTCGTTCCCTTAGCCTGACCGATAGCCAAAAAGCTGCGATAAAGCAACGAGGCTGATCTCCACAAGTTCGCAAGCAAACACAATTTACAACTTCAACCTCAACGATTGATCTACTCTTGACCAAAATCCCTCACATCCATATCCATCACAAATTGCACCTCCGACACTGCAGCTTCTGCGCGCTGTATCTTCCGGCCACGATCCACGTATTAAAATACAATCTCCCTCGATTCCGCCGCAAGCACGCGACCTAGCCTGAATCCGCCACGATGGACGCGAAGCAGGTTGATATTCAACTCAAGGCTCTGCAAAAGGCAGTGGCCGAGAAGCAACCTACAGCAAATGTGGTTGCTATCCTGGAGACATTGAAGAAAGATGTTGTCCCGACCGAGGAACTGCTCAGGGTACGTTCTTTACTTGCGCGCATTCCTCAAAAATGGAAACGGACACTCTGCCTCTTGTTGATTTTCAATCCTCTGACATACTCTAGACAACCAAAGCCGGTATCGTCGTCTCCAAGCAAAAGGCCAATCCCAACAAGGACATTTCCAGGCTCGCTGCAGAGATCGTATCGAAGTGGAAGCAAGTTGTTCAAGGATCACAAAAGAAGGCAGCTTTGGCCAAGTCGAGTGCTGGATCACCAATGAAGACCGCCTCCTCCCCAGCTCCGAGCAACGAACCTAAGACGTTCAAGGGCGATAAATCCAAGAGAAAGTGGGAGAATGAGGGTGTTGATACCAAGCGCACTGGAATTCCAACCAGGGATGCTTGCATTGGACTGCTATACAATGGACTCGCCTACATGTCGGACGAAACTCCTACTCGCTTGATCCTTCGGGCTGTAGAGATTGAACAGGCTGCATTCGACAATTTCAAAGGCGACACCCCAGATTACCGAGCCAAGCTCCGTTCTCTGTTCCAAAACCTCAAGAATGCTTCGAATAAAGAGCTAGGCCCACGTGTCATGTCTGGAGATATCAAGCCCGCCCGATTCGTCACCATGACCCACGAGGAGCTGAAGTCTGCTGAGCGTCGCGAGGAGGATGAGAAGTTGATGAAGGAGAACTTGAAGATGGCACAGGTTCCAATGGCAGAGAAGAGTATCAGTGATGCCTTGAAGTGCGGAAAGTGTGGTCAGAAGAAAGTCAGCTACAGTCAAGCGCAAACCAGATCTGCAGATGAACCGATGACTACTTTCTGTGAATGCACGGTTTGTGGTAATCGCTGGAAGGTATGTAGTCTCATTTTTGTGTGCAAGAAACCTTCACTAATATGCATAGTTCTCTTGAACATCTGGCTGATGGGGCGTGCTCGGATCTTAAAATTTCAATTCTCTTAGGGTACTTTTTATGGATGGCTTCAGGGGTCTGGGGTCTTACAATGCATTTGGGGGGTTTATTCTAATGAGTCCAGAACAGCGTTGCTTCTCATTCCATTTGTGCTTTATACTGCCAAAGCATGGATTTTAACATGTCTCTCTGAAGGGGCTTAGCACGTGGTTCTTCTTTCAGAGAACGACGCTCTGCTGTCATGAGATAGAGAACGAAAGAACGATAGATCATGCAACATCTCTGCCACATTGATTACCCTTCTTTCACCTCGGATCTTTGATGCCTAGCAAGGCCAGCAAGTTTGTCTGCTCATGCTCTTCTTCCAACCCCATCTCGCCTACACTCTTCCAGAACTTACTGAGATGTCGAGTACCACTGTCACAAAGGATGGTAACAATCCGACTGTCCTTTGGCATCTGCAGAGCAGTAAAGACAGCAGCAACGCAATTCACAGCGCTACTGCTACCGACAAATATGCCATCTTTCTCAACCAACCACCTAGCCATCTTCATAGCTTGGAGATCAGTAACCTTGACAGCATCATCAATCAGCTCTCTCCCAGCTTCAAAGTTCTCCGTAAGCCTATTGATCCCTATCCCTTCGACTATGGTATCAACTTGTTGTCTCCGGCGTGTGCCTTCTTTTTCTGTACTCGAAAACATGACTCCATGCTTCACCTTGTTGTACAAACCGCTGCCTTCAGGATCTGCCAGCACAACCTTGAGATCTCTCCCCATTCCCATTTCTTGCTTGAGAAAGAGGGAGATCCCAGATATAGTCCCACCAGTCCCAGCTCCAGCCACGAAAGCATCAAGCTGTCCACCAGTCTGGTGCCAAATCTCTGGTCCCGTAGTCTTGAAATGAGCCCTGTAATTTGCCAAGGACTCGAATTGGTCCGCAAAGAATCCCTTACTCTCATCCTCGTTCGAAGCAGTATGTTCCCTCGCTCTCGTCCTTGCCAAATTGACAAAGTGCTCCGTGGAAGTAATCGGCGCAGGCGTCACTCTCTCGACCGTAGCTCCCAGATGATGCAAAAGGTCAGACTTCTCCTTGCTCTGGTCATTCGGCATACAGATATAAGCCTTATATCCCTTTGCCCTCGCCAGCGTTGCAAGAGAGATCCCCGTTGACCCTACCGTGCCCTCATAAATCGTATCTCCTCGCCCCGGCGTCAACAATCCTTCCTCCTCCGCCATCTGAATCATATTCAGCGCCACTCTATCCTTCGGGCTTCCTCCCGCTCCATTAAGAAACTCTGCTTTGGCAAAAATCTCGCATCCCGTAGCTTCAGATAAGCTCTTGATCTTGAATAGCGGGGTATTGCCTATGCATCCTTCGATGCCTTCAGGGACTGGCGGAACGGGAACTCCTACGATTGATTGTCGAGCGCTTCGTGTGTGGTCTTCTAGCTTTACGGGAGCTAGGTATGTGCTCGCTGGTCGAGAGTCGGCGGAAGAACTTGGTCCCCCTCTTCGGCGTTGGTACCTGCGTTCAAGATCTGGGTAGAGATCTTTGAAGCCGAGGGTTAGGAGAATACCTGCCGCGAAAGCGACTGCGACGGCAGCTGTGCCATAGGCTTTTGGGTGGTCATTTAAAGACATCTTGTCATCGTAATCTGATCATTTCGTGGATTGCCCAGTTGTCGAGGGACAATGGTGGATTTTGGGTGTTTGGGATGAGGATTAATCCTTGTCAATATTTGGAGCTTTGACCTTGTGAAATTCGGACTTTCTGCTCAGAGCTCCGACAAGAGCACGCAACCACAGCACGAGTTGTACATATCGTTCTATGGACTCTCCAATTATTTCACGGTTGTTTAGACAGCTGTTCAGTCATCGAGCTTGTCAGCGAGTACGAGCGCGATCAGTGGCGCCATTACGGTTACAGCATGGAAGAAGATCGCAGGTTAGACATTTGTCTGGGAGCAGAAGACACAATGAGAAGTCCTCGACGCGCAACGAGAGTGATTGGCAGCAGAGGACGGACCTGTTTCCGTTGGATATGATGGAGGAGTACCAGAAATACCCAATGGTTACAGCAGATCAGTTGAGAGGGAGGAGGGAACGGCCTAGGAGAGTCAAGATGTTGACGAGAGACTTCATTGAAGGTTGATACTCCCATACAAACTTTGAATCAAGACTCACATACCTCGCAGATTCTCTCTACAATCCCTCATACGGGTACTTTTCGAAGCAAGTGGTTATCTTCACACCAGGTGAACCCTTCGATTTCAATAACCTGCAAGACGAACCAGAGTTCCATCGTCTTTTAGGGCAGAGATACACCGAGTTTGAAGACAAACTAGACGCTATAGAACCCAACGAGACTCGACAACTATGGCATACACCCACCGAACTCTTTCGACCGTACTACGGGGAAGCTATAGCCCGGTACCTGGTAGCCAACTACAAGCTCTCCCAATACCCCTATCACGACCTCATAATCTACGAAATGGGCGCCGGAAACGGAACCCTCATGCTCAACATCCTCGACTACATCCGCGACGCCGAACCCTCCGTCTACGACAGGACGAAGTTCAAGATCATCGAAATCTCCTCCAACCTAGCCAAGCTGCAAGCCAGCCAACTCCTCAGAACCGCTGCTTCCAGGGGCCATTCCTCCAAAGTGGAAATCATCAACAAGTCCATCTTCGAATGGACGCAGGTAGTCTCTTCCCCCTGCTTCTTCCTCGCCATGGAAGTCTTCGACAACTTCGCCCACGACTCCATACGCTACGACCCCGTGACTGAAGAGCCCCTCCAAGGAACAGTACTCATTGATTCCTCGGGCGAGTTCTACGAGTTCTTCCTCCCAACAATCGATCCCGTCGCCTCGCGCTTCCTACGAGTCCGTCACGCTGCCACTGGAGGCCATTATCCCACCCCGTTACCGCAAAGCAAGATATTGCGGAAATTAAGGGCAAAGATGCCGTTTAGTCCGAATTTAAGTGACCCGGAATACATCCCAACGAGACTAATGCAGTTCTTTGATATACTGGCGAAGTACTTCCCAAGTCACAGGTTGTTAACGAGCGATTTTCATGATTTGCCGGATACGATCAGAGGGGTTAATGCCCCAGTTGTGCAGACGAGATATCAGAGGCGGACCGTGCCTGTTACTACTCCTTATGTAAGTCTTCTTACCAGATTTTCCACGGGTTCAATATGCTGATGATGTTCGACAGGTACATCAAGGATATTTCGATATCCTGTTCCCGACTGATTTCAATGTCATGGAACTCATGTACAGGGCTATCACAGGCAAACTCACTCGTGTTCTCACACATGAGGAGTTTCTGAGGAGATGGGCGTATGTGGAAGAGACGGAAACGAAGAATGGAGAGAATCCACTCTTGAGTTGGTATAAAAATGCCAGTGTCCTCACCACGGTGTAGTCAATTCAAGAATTACCAAAGAAAGTCTGGATGATTCTGTTTGATTCGCTGTGTTGTGATGTTATACGCTAATGCGGTATGTGGAACAAGTTTGTTTTACGCCTTATAATCCTTCTCCTACCATTCAAGCACTGTCCTCCAGTCACAGGATATATTGAACCATGGAGCGGTCTTTACCTTTCAAATGCCCGGTGCGCGATCTTCTTTCCAGTTCTGTTCTGCGTATCAACGCTCTAAGGAAAATGACGCGAGATTGTGTTTGCTGGGCGGCTTGAGCAGCAAGAATTCTTCGATGGTGCCTTCCAAGTGGAGGACCTCTGGTCAAAGCACGATTTGAAGCACGTCGTCTTCGACTTCCCTGCCTCGTTGGACTCGATCTTCGTCGGATTGGCAGGCATAGCTCTGTGCCATCAACTAGGTGAGGTCTCTCCGTAGAGCCTTGTCTTTCGGATGGGAGCCACTCCATCTGCGTGTTTCTGCTTGGGTCTGAACAGGAAGCGTCTCTCGAGGCCTGACGATTGTCTGAAATATAAGCATCAAAGACCCCGGGATACAGGATGGACCCGAGGATATCGAACGTCTAAGGCAGTCAACATTGCATTTCAATCTAAGGAAATGGCATGCATACGTCGGGCTCCCGCAAGAGCCATACATCCCGATCAAATCCTGATGGCTTCGGATGAGATGGAAGGCTGGATTTCCAGTTGTCATTGCCATCGTCTCGATTTTCCTCGCCTTCACGTGCTTGTGGCTGTGTTATACTCTGCATGTTCATATGCAAAGCCTCTACACTCCCACCCCACAATCGACGCCAAATCGACGGAAAGTGTAGTCGATCATCGAGGAACACGAAACTCTTTACCAGCATAATCGACTCGAGTATCTTTGGACGGTGCAGAACCTGGATTACTTGATCCAGTGTTTCGCATTCTCCCAATTCGACCGGACATTGTGATTGGAGAAAACGCTCCCTGTCTCTGAAGTAGTCCAAGAACTTCAGGATTTCCTCGATAAGGCCAGACTCGATCAAAACCTCGTTGTTCGATTTGCGTTGCTCTTGTGGGATATCTGGGCCTAGGAATTGATCCATGATAGAAAGAATTATTCTGAGCTGGAAGCGCCATGACTCTTGGTGTGGAAATAGGCTTTGGTATAGCTGGCAAACCAGTGTAGCGTCTTGAGACGAGATCAGTAAGCGAGGATCTGAATGTCTTGCAAAGCACGTACATTCCAATGTCTGACATGGCTCTTGCATCGACTGTTGTTGCGTTCTTTCGGAAGGCATCTTGGGTATCTGAACGAAGGAGGGGTTCACTTGATGCTCGAGCGGCGAAACCGAATAATCGAGCGACTGCTGACTGCATATGAATGTCCGGTTCGAGTTAGAGAATGTAATCTGAATGAATGAAAGTCGGGTTTGGTAACAGCTATTGTTGAAGATTGATGTCGAGTGATGTTGGGTGATGACGAAAGTATCTGAAGCTTCGAAAATGAACACGGAGAATGGATTCTTAAGGTTGGAAGGGACAACCAGCTGTCAACTCACAGTGCGATGCCACATATTTAAAGCAGGAAAGAGCAATCATGATTCTGATAGGAAGGAGGAGAGGTAGAAACAGCTTAAATTCAGATATCAATGTGCTGCTCAGTTCTACGCTATGAGATCGAGTTATGTGCTCTGAACATGATGCTCCCATTGAAGTCTTGACCACAACCGAACCTCAGTCTACCAAATGCTCCACAAAAGGGGAGCGACTCACATGATGCAAGCACGTGACTAGACGAAATATACTTCCTTTGAGTAGTAAGACTAGAGAATGCATTTGACACAATGACTTATGGAGTTAAAAGTAGTCTCTAGCAGAAAGTTTGGCCAAATGTAAGTCCGAATCAAAAATATGCGATTCGTTATGTTTCCCTTTGCAAGGGATTCAAGCGAGGACTCAAACCTCAAGCTTCAAACCCTCAACTCTCACCACTGACAAGGTTTACAGGTACATCAAATATGGCGAACTCAAAGTATGTGGATAGTTACGAGGAGTTGAATCGTGCTAATTCACCTTTGCAGGTACGAGTACGTGAAGGCATTCGAGCAACCAGACCTCCTCCTGCCAAACACCTGGATCGTGGTTCGCATTGATGGCAGAGGGTTCCACAAGTATGCGTATCAACTTTTGACATCTATGTACCTCTGTTGATCACAATCAGATTCTCAAACAAATATGCTTTTGAGAAGCCAAACGATCGTCGGGCTCTCGACCTCATGAATGCTGCGGCCAAGGCAGTCATGAACGAGCTCCCAGACATTGTCATTGCGTACGGCATCAGTGATGAGTACAGGTACCTCAGCAGGATCCCGTTACCTGGCTTCCATTCCTAAAGATTATTTCTAGTTTTGTCTTCCACAAGTCTTGTGTATTGTTCGAGAGGCGGTCAAGGTATGACTCTTGCTTCTGCCCAAGATCATCTAGCTGACGCTTTGCCAGCAAGCTAGTGACAACTATCGTGTCGACTTTCACCGCATACTACGTGCATCTCTGGTCAACTTTCTTCCCTGATATGTCACTTTCTCCTCCTTTGCCAAGCTTCGACGGACGGGCCGTGCAGTATCCTAGTATCCAGAACTTGAGAGACTACATGAGCTGGAGACAAGTCGATTGTAAGCCCTCTCTTACATAACTAATCTCAGAGCTTATAAGAATCAGGTCACATCAATAATCTCTACAACACTACCTTCTGGGCTTTGATTCAGGTTGGAGGAATGGATGCGAAAAGTGCTGAGAAAGAGCTTGCTGTAGGCTCCCCCCCCCCCACGAGTTCAGCGTAACATGCTTATCGAAATAGGGTTCACTCGCAGCAGACAAGAACGAGATCTTGTTCTCGAGATTCAAGATCAATTACAACAACGAACCAGAGATCTATAAAAAAGGAAGCGTGGTACTTCGAGATGTAAGTCATTTTCTGCGCGGATGCACAACATCTGACCAGGATTAGTATGAGTTAGTGGAGCCTGGAACTGCATCAGAAGTTATTCATGAGGACGTGGCTAAGCCAGGAGAGGAGGTTGAGTTATCAAAGACCCAAGAAGAGAAAGACAGGAAACGGAGAGCAAAAGCAAGAATCACTGTGCAGCACGTGGACATTATCAAGGATGAGTTTTGGGAGAGAAGACCATGGTTGCTTTCAAACAAGCCGGGCAAAATACCCAAAGAGCCATGATTAGATTCTATAGCTTTAATCGCTGCAAATGCACAGATACTCGACATGATATCGCTCCGAACGCCGCGCTGATGCCAAATGTATAACCTATTCTTCTTTTCTCCGCTTCTTCTTCTTCTTCTTTGAATCCTCAGTATCCACCGTGTCTTGTTCAGCCTTCTGTGCAAGTTTCTTTAGCCGTTTTCGTTCTTTGCGTTGCTCTTTCGTCTCGGGTTTGACTGAATCCTGTTCCGCGGTGTCTTCTGTCGACGCAGATTCCGAGGCTTTTGCTTCCTCCTCAAGTAGAGCACGCTTGGCAGCTTTTCTTGCCCTCCGCTCTTCCTTAGATTCCTTTGTATCTGGGCTCTCTCGGCTCTCCTCAGATTTGTCCTCCGCAGCTTTAGCAGCACGTTTCGTAGCTTTCCGAGCTCTTCGTTCTTCCTTGCTCTCTTCCTCCTTCTCGCCCATTTCTACCTCTCTCCTCCTTTTCTTCTTAGCCGGCTCCTCACTCTCCGTACTCTCCACAGGTGTAATCGTCCCACTCAAACTCTCTCCGCGAACAAAACTCGCGTACAACCCGCCTTTACTGCCCACCCATTTCGCGCCCGCTTTGCTCACCATATCCAGGCCTCCACTTGTAACAGTCTGCACCACTGTGCCCTCTTTCGTCGTATCCAATCCTTTCAGCGAGGAATCGAAGGCGTTCATCCACCACATATCGCTCGTTTTGTGCTGTTTCTTGCCGATGCCGAGAGTGTTCTGCTTCTTGGAGACGAGGAGAGGTCGAGAGAGTCCGATTGTGTTGGAGGTTGGGTGCAGCGAGTTTCCGGTCCCGCGCCATCCTTGGGATGTGAGGAGCGCGTGGGCGTCCATCGTGTGTGTCTCGTGGGAATCTGTGAGACTGGAGGAAGAATTATACAAATTTCTTATCGCAATTGAGAAAAGTTGTGGTAATCTTAGCGCAGGTGGCGCTATTGGCTCTTCCGACTTCAAAAGCGGGGCCAACATTGCTCGATGCTTTGGCGGATTATCTGTCTGAACTTTTTGAAAAGCCTCACTTTCTGATTATTTATTGATTAAGACATAATGTTTAACTGTTCTGATGTTCTTCTGAGATTTAGTATCTCGTCGCCTTCGAAGCATCTTCCAATCTCTTCTCAAAATGCCGTACCTCCCATATGAAGAGCCTAGCATTACCACCATCCTCTCCCTCACATCTCTCCTCATCCTTCTCAATGTCACTCGCTACATCCTTGACCGCCTCTTATACTGCGGCATCATCGCCGAGATCCTGATAGGCATCATTTGGGGCCTTCCAGTCGGCGGTACAGCATGGCTCTCAGCAGGCATGCAAGAAACCATCCAAGCTTTCGGCTACCTAGGCCTGATTGGTCTTGTGTATGAAGGCGGTCTTAGTACCGATTTGGATCTGCTGCATAAAAATGCTGGAATGTCCATATCGGTGGCGACAGTCGGACTTATTATGCCCATCGCGTTGTCCTTCCTCCTGCTTCTCTTTCCATTCTCCAGCAGTTCTGGGACTTCGTATCCTACCCCGCTGGCAGCTTTCTCAGCAGGTGCTTCGCTTTGTTCTACTTCGTTGGGTACGACATTTGCTATTCTATCTTCAGCTAGTATGCAGCAGACGAGAATTGGAACAGTGCTTGTTGGAGCTGCTATGATGGACGACGTGGTCGGACTGGTCATGGTGAACATTGTCACCACGCTTGGTGCAGGCGGCATGGGCAGTTGGTCTATTGCAAGACCTATCGTCGCTAGTTTTGGCTTGCTTCTTATTGTCTTGGCCATTTCTCCCTATTTATTGAAGCCATGTTGGCTATTCCTTGCTAGGCAGCTGAATCCTGTAGAAAGTGGGGATGAAAGAACCTCGAACTCCAAGTCATCTTTTCAGAGAATTGCTGTGAGGGTCGTCTCAGGTGTTCCTCATTTGAGTTTCTTGCTTTGCACAGCCGTCTTGGTTGTCTTTGTAACAATAGCAGCTTTCATCGATGCCTCGATATTGTTTGCAGCATTTATCGCAGGTGGCATGGTGAGCTATCTATGGAATTCTCAGCATAAGCAGGAAGTCGCTAGAGACGATCGCCCATTCGATGCTCAGATGCACATGTATGAGCGGTATTACAAGTCTTCAATGGAGTATATACTTGTACCTTTCTTCTTTGTAAGTAACTCTCAATGCGTGTGAGTCTTGCCCTGATAGCATGACCTAGGTCTCCATCGGATTTTCTATCCCAATCACAGATATGTTCTCAGGGCAGGTCGTCTGGAAAGGCATCGTCTATTCAATACTCATGATCATCGCAAAGGGAACTGTCAGCCTTGTCATCTATTCAGATTATTTGATAAAGGTATGGCATAGCAGATCAAAGACTTGGGCATCTCCACGCAACACAAACATACCTCTACGATCAATTCGATACCCACAAACAGATAACAGCACTCAAGAAAGCGTCTCAATTCCACATGAACGGAGGAAAGCTCCACATGCAGATGCAATGCTCGTTGGATTCGCCATGATTGCAAGAGGAGAGATTGGTTTCCTGATTACCTCGTTATCTCAAAGTTCGGGGACATTGACACTGAAGGGCTCCTCAAGCGGTGGCGGAGAGTCCATCTTCCTTGTCATCATCTGGGCTGTGGTTTTGTGCACTATTACTGGGCCGGTTGCAGTGGGGATCATAGTTCGCAGACAGCGAAGACAGCAGATTGAGACGCAAGACCTCGCACAGATTCATGACTATTGCAGATGAAACCTAATATTAAGATCTACTATTCCGCATTACTCTGCTTCGGTCTACGCATGAACCATCCATGGATTGGACATCCAAGTTCCTCCCGCACCTTGATAAAATCTTCAGACGGATTTTCCACACTCGGATCCAAGCTCAACTCAGATTCTACCTTGAACCCATACTCTTTATACAACTGAAGCCCATCATCAGTCGCTTCGACATAGGCAGGCAATCCCAGTTCATCAGCTTTGTCAGCTCCCCACTGCATCATCAGTCGCCCTGCACCACGGCGTCGATGCTTAGGGTGCACGAAGCAGAAATTATTCACTGACAAGCAGAGGTTAGCTCGTAAACTGGTCTCAAGGTGTCTGTCTGGATTCTAACAGATATGAGGTTCCTTCATTTTAGCAGTGCGATTGCTCAGAAACTGATAAAGTACTTGGCTCGCAACGTCTTTGAAAGCACCTGTGACAGTCAGACATCAATCTACAAATCTCTCAATCTAGGCACCTTCAGGCAACCAATACGGCGCCATTGGCTCCGCTTCCTTGGCGTAAGGATTCTGTTCAAAGATATTCCATTGCGTCCCAGCGATTACCTCACCAGTCTCTTCATCGGTTACGTAGATCCAGCGACTACTAGGATCGCCTTTATGCCATTCGAGTTGGCGAGCGCAGAACTCGTCAAGCGATGGTCCTTTAAACGTTTCAAAGAAGCCAAAGAAGGGGTCATTGAATGCTGCAACTTCGACTGTGTGGATGGGAGGAAACTCTGCATCCGTGGTGAGTTCGTGGAGTTTGAGAGGCATGGTGAAAGATGGAATTTCTGAGATGAACGCCGTCAGATTATAAGTAGAGAGGTTCTTTAAGTCAATTATATTGTATTGTTTAAGAACACGAAAACGAGTGGTTGTGGTAAACGAAAACGAGGGTGGGCTAATGCATGTGGGCTGACACCTAGCTTGATAGGACTACACTCGAAGTTCACCATTTCCCACGAACTGCGATCCAAGATCGGTTAGAGATCTGACTAGTATGGCTGTCCAATCAACTTTTCCATTGTCCCAAAAAGAGACTGAATACATAGCTTCTTGCTAGTAGTTGTATCCTCATGAACCCATGTCATCCTGAGGCAAATTACTCAACCGTGTCCATTCTTACCCTGGATCTTGAACCATGGGTCGAGGTCCTTCACCACAAATTCCTGCTGCCTGTCCGGAGAGAAAACCTTATCGAAAGCTTCCCTGTGCTTTCCGCTGCAATGCCACGCATTCTTCGGGTCTCGCAAAAACATTCGGAGCAGATGTCGGCTAGACAATTCGTCCCCTTCGTATGCAGCTCGAGCGTGCATAATGCTGAGATTGTTGACAAATTGGATGTCTCCATCCTGACGGTCTAGTTTATGAGAGAATTTCTGAGCAGTCTTCTCCAGCACTCGAAGAGCATGGTGCTGAGCTGCGGAAAGGGAGGGCAAGTGATCAGGACGGGGCAGCTGAGGCCCACCAGTGAGCACAGCATGTACAAGCTGCATCATGGGTTTCTCTGCGGCGTAAAACAATGCAGGAGCAAAGCTGACACCAGCTTCATGGGTTATTCTATAATTATTGGTCACCGAAACAAAGGATCATCTGTAGTGTGACTTACGGATCTGCGATCTCCCACGGCCTTGCCTCGGCCTCCAATGTTTTGATTACATCAGGAGCTGTCACTAGTAGCTCTTGATAAATTCTCCAGAAGCTTGACAGAAATTGCTCGCCTCCTCCTACCTCTGATCCTTGATCCACCACGAAGAGCGCAAGTATATCGCCTGCAAATCTATCGGCATGGAACGACTAACATGTTTTCAGCAAATTGATCGATGTTGGGATAAACATATCATACCAGAGCAACGGGTATCTTTGACCCAGCTAGTCCAACACCCTTTGCAGCTTCTGGTACGTGATCGTGAGTGGCATCGCGGATATGACCTTGTGTGACCGTTAGCTGAATGTTGACGATAGTATATATGATTGAGGCAAAATCGTCTGTCCCTCGTTGGGAGCAGACGTACGAGGATACACCTGCAAAAACGAGTGCCTTATCGAAGTCGTTGTACATCATTGGGTCTATACCCCGTCGCACTGCAACACCTATTCCATTGTAAAGACTGGAAGCGATGTTCCCCAGACGCGGCGCCAGCTCTACCGGTAGAGGAAAAGTTTCCGGGCCCACTTTCTCAGCAGGGACACCGATGTCTGGCAAACTCGCATTCAGTATATCCATTGGGGTGTGTGGTTGATGAATACTTACTTTTGAAGTGTACAACAGCCTCGCTGATAGCAGCAACGTCATGGTCTCTAAGCTCAAACACGTAATCCTTAGGTTTGAGATCTTCCCCATTCCAAGCCATAGGAGAGAGGCTGAGAGAGGGAACCTCTTTGACGTCGTCATATGTTGAGCTATGTGACGATAGCGGGGATCCGCAGTTGCTATTTGGGTTGGAGTCATTCGAAGAAGACTCGAAGCATGGATTTGTCGATTCTTCCATGATGGCGACTAGCTAGACAGAGAAAATTTATCGTGGCTAAGAATTGGGAGAAATTTTTCGTATGTTATGTTGACACCCGATTGGCGGATTCTAGTCATTAAGTGAGCTTTATGTATGAACCCAGTGAGGCAGCCTGATCTACTTCAGTGAATTGAAAAAAAGGGCGGTATGCGAAATACCAGACAATTCGCGGCTCTGGTCTCCAAAAGGATTTGCATTGGGCAAGTTGTGAAACAACCCTCTCCAATCGCACGGAATTTCCGCAGTTGCTTATCTTGCAGTTGATTCCGACTAGTAATCATTGGAAGGATAAGGCCAGCTCGGGTCGGAACGAAAAAGAAAGGTAGGTCATTTTGCAAAACCACTATGCACAGAGCTGGATTTGGTAGTGTGACAGACTAGCTACGGCTGGGTGTAAGGGTGTGCTCTCACTATTGATGATTGGGAGGAAGGTTGGATCTCAGCTGCAGCACCTCACATGGACTGAATTGGTGAGCCAAAGATAAGAATGCGTTCACTGGCCTACAGTACCGATCACTCAGGTGAGTGGGAAAGAGGTGCTAGCCGAACGATTATTTGTAAGGCCTGCATACGATCGTTGTACAAGATAGGTAAGCAGTCGCAACGTAATGTGAAGTTAAATCGTGGTATGAAACTATTTGCAACAAACAAAAAGTACACGAAATCAACCAAACCCCTATGAGCGGGCTAGGAATTAGAACTTCTATTAAAAGATATCACGTGGGAAGAATTGCGATGCAAGATAGTTAAGCAGTGACAATGCTTATCCAGTGAAAAAAGCCAAAGACTCATCGTTATGTACAAGTAACAAATGAAATTAGCGCAGGTCGATGAGGAAGTGAGTACCTCCCGAGGCAGTGCTTATCTCTTTCTGCGGAGAAGTAGACTCTTGGAGTAGTTGACCTGTCCATCTGCCTGGCTTAGTGTTGGCACCAAGAACAGTTCTTGTATCATTCAGAACAGCAGCAGAGTTGGACTCTATTAGAGGAGTTAATCGTACTTCAGCGGGGTTTTGAGAGTGATGTGTAGTCTTACCCTTGTCGAGGACTTGGACTAAATTGCGTAGAAAGCAAACAGACTCGTCGTCCAACCCTTCTCGCTTACTCAACTCTTCAATTTTCCCTTCCCGGACCAATTGAAAGGGAAGAAAGCCACGAAGTATTGCTCGAAAGTGCATGAGGAGATTTCCAGCAGTATTTTCGTATGCTTCGATTTGTTGTTTCGAGATGTGACTGACCCGCTCTTCCAAACTCTACTCGAATACATGAGTCAACACCTTTTCAATCTGGAGTGAGGACCTTACAGTCTTTTGTTTTGATATCATATAAGCTATGCTGCCTGCATGAACAAACTCTAGATTTGAGAGGAGGGTGTAGAACGTCAAAAACAACTCGAACCACGGCTTTGAAGTACCGGATGCTTTCTTTGCGAAGATCATCTTTTTGATCTTGCTTACAAGAACTTTCTGGTCTCCTTTGAGCCCGGAAAGGATGGCGACATCAATTTGATGTTCTATTGCTTCTGGTGCCGGCCGATCTACCGCTCGCGAGAAGTCGTATTTCTGATATTCAGACCGGTTTCCATATTTAGCGAAATCCTCCAAACTAACTCCAAGGGTCTCTTTCCCAGTGATAGTTGCCCAACCCTGGGACATTACTGCTCCACACTCAAGTTTGAAAGCGAGGCTAAGAACATCACTACCATACTTCCCTTTATATCGTAGAGCCTCCCGGTATATCAAAGCAGCTATCTCACCAGGATGCCTTGAGGCTAACCAAAGCTCCATCGCGGATCTTTTGGAGTTCAGCAGATCACCAACAGTACTTACTACCTCTGAAGTTTCGTAGGCAGCAAATGGAGGCAATTCAATGGCCACCTCTTCATCTGCCACCGAAAAGTGGTACGAGGTTGTGTCGTCTTTTGCCTCCGGTTGATACTGTCGACAAGCGATCAACAGGGTCAATTCGGATAGCTCGATCGGGACAGAGCCTGGCAATATCCACTTGAGTTGTACGTTGCGACATTCGTTAGCATTACCAGTCCAGCGATAGCTCTTGAATTCTACTTCCCATTAGCCCATTCGAGAATTGACTGAAACCATTAGCGAAAACTCAAAGGTGAAGCATGGTATGCATACTGTGACGAACTAGGCTGGTTGAATGAAGGTCTTCCCGGTAGCAGGGAATGTAATAACTCCGAACACTACTAGCGACCTTACTACAGGAGTTGCAAGGATTGCCGTCATCACACTGTGCAAAAGTTAGTGAGAAAACAGACGGACATGCCGACTTCGTTGTCTGCGGTTGAAAACTCACATCACCCTTCTGCAACCGACATCGTATACACGCCCCTATCTTTCGGACCATATCAGCTTTTCTCCGATCTTCAACGGATGGCTTTCCACGAGCTTTTTGGATTCTGTTTCCTAGTACCAAGTGATTGGATTTGAATGTGGCTAGCTGCTTAGGGTTGGGCGCAATTGATACTGGCACAGATAGCCTGGGTCGTAATGAGGAAGGCCTGAGTGATTGGTCAGGTAAGCTCGATTCAGAGGGAGTAGCACGGGGAAAGGGCGACGGCGACGCTGTAATCGAGTCAAAACGGCCGGAGCTTGGTGTCCGCAAGCTTTGCTGGCCACTCGGAACACTAGATAGAGTTGAAGCTGCTCTACTGGAGATTATCTCGAAGGCTTCTGACTCTGCGTATGGTGGATCGGAAGAAACTGCCGAAGGGTGTAGAAGTTCCCAATATTCTTGCGTTTGTTCTTCTGGCTGATGAAGGTTCTCCTCCAGTCCGTGCATGACCTACTAGGTAGCTACCTAGCGATTGATCGATCGCGGGTAACGAGTCAAACCGGCCCGGCGTGCAAGGGCGACTGACCGGTTGGCCAACGCGCAATTTGATTGGAGCGTCTGCCCGCAGCCAGCCAACTCTGTGCGGTTCGTCGTGGTCCCCAGCCAGCCAGCCAGCGTGCACACAAAATAGGGTCATGGAATTGGTGGGAGAAGAGGATGCATTGCTAATCTACGGTCGGGCTACGCTACATGGACGCTCCCTAACCTTAGTGGCTTCCCTTATGTAAGCACCAATACTCCAGTGGAACTCCCTTTCATACGTGACGTGCCGCCACGGAACTTCGATGCCATAGGGTAAGGGTATTAAAGAAAATAATGCAAACGCAAAACTGTATGTAAGGAAACTATGCTTTGAAGGGGGTTTAGCTCCGACAACGTTCTTCCTGCCTGTCGTCCGCCTCAAATCCTCCCAGAGTCGTACCGACCGCGATATAAGGGCGAGAACAAAGTGGAATACAAAGCCATAGGAGTGTAGTACCAGGTGGGCGTAGCACTGTTTTGTCAACGACCCCATCCCATAAGGGAATTGTTAGTTGCTCAGGAAATAGTGGTACATAGTTTAGAAAAAAAGTAAAGGCCAAAATATATAGTAGCAACACAAGGCCGGTCCTCGCAACGTTAAGAGGTGGTTGTAAAGAGGTGGTTGAGACACTAACCAATAAACCTAATCCAGTGCGGTATACTGACGTTGCGGGGACGTAGGCGGATAGGGTGGTTAAAACACCGACCAGTGGACCTGGCCTAGTGCGGTGTAAGGAGGTGGTTGGGACATTAATCAGTGGACCTGATCTAGTGCGGTATATTGACGTTGCCGGGGCGTGGCAAGTAGAGTGGTTGAAACACTGACCAGTGGACCTAGTCCAGTGCGCTCCGGTATTGATAGGAAGATAGAGTAAATCACTCGCTACCCGAGTCGGATGACTCTGCGAAGGAAAGTGTTATGATCCGTGAGAGCGTAGCCGAGTGGTTGTGCGAAATTCTTCTTAGTTGCGATCTCCTGCCACTTTCCCGTAGACAATCTCATGAAGCCAGGTGGTACTTGATATTCCTCCTTGGACGGTTGTAAGACAGCACCCTTTCCTTTAAAGACCTTCTAAGCGGGGGTGGGCGTCAGCGCTCCCAACAGTTGGCTGGGTTTAGCGTAACTGCCAAGAAATAACCGTCTAGACTAGTTTGGTTATAGATTTTGAAGAACCGTCAGCTTATTGGTTGGTTATAGTTCCGGGCTCCCTGAAATTGTTAAGAACTGTTTATTTGTTTACTATTAGGGGAGTTTGATAATTGTGGAGATTAAAGTGCTTGGAACCCTTGAAATGTGGGAAGGCTAGTTTAAAGCTTGAAATTTAAGGGTTAAATTTTAGTTAAAGCTTAAAAATTGAAGCTTAAAATTAAAAATATACTATTAATAGAGTTTATTTGTCTTAGCAGTTTAAACCGTCTAGAACTGTCTAGAACTTATACGGTTTGGTTTCATAGTTTTCCGGAACTATACTAATACAATTAGTCTGGTTTTGTGACAGCACTGTGACGATGGTGTGAGATGGCGACACAACGTCGGGCTATTCATTTAGAATCTAAAGCTAAGGAGAGAAGAAAGGAGAGGAGGAGAGATCTATATACATATATATGTCAGAAGTAAGGGGATGTCAGGTGAGGAGCTAAGCCCTATTAGGCTTAAAGCTCGGGAACGCCACTATTCCCGGCCTGACCTCTGTCACAGGCGATTGGCTCAGGCGATTCAGAACAGCTGGCGCTGTGACAGGTTTTAGGGTTAAAACCAAACCAAACCACCCATTGGGAGCGCTGGTGGGCGTGTCCTCCGCGTCAGGAGAAGAAGAGCGGGCCATCTGGGGGGAGCGTACTTATAATTCGTCGACCTCGTCCTCGTTACTGATCTTGCATCGCTTCGTGGCAGGCCTGAGTTCCTCCTCCTCCGCGCTATCACCACCTAACTCAGTGTCTGGGACGTCCGCCTCACCTCCTTGATCTGGAAAATAAGTAAAAAGTACT